TTAATTGTCTCACTGGTCTCTGAAGCTCTGTCCTATATTCTTTGTTCTTTATTTTTCTGTTCTTCAGACTGGATAATGTCAATTGACCAGGTTTGCCGATGTTTCTTGAGCCTGCTTGACTCTCTTCCTAGTGAATATTTCATATCCCGCCCCCCCAGCCTCCGATGGGAATGGAATTCTAGCCTCATATGTGCTAGGCCAGCACTCTACCAAGCTATACCCTCAGCCCCTATTTCTTTATTGATATTCTCTATTTGATGAGGCATTGTTCTTATACTTCCCTTTAATTCTTTTTATTTCCCCCGGTACCAGGGATCAAACTCAGGACTTTGCGCTTTTGAGGCAGACACAGTGCCACTGAGCTAAGTCCCTGGTCCACTTCCTTTTAATTCTTTAAACATGATTTCTTTTAGTTTCAGTGGATTTATATAAATGATGTAAAGTCTTTGCTAAGTCCAGCTTCAGGGCTACATTGTATTAGCTGTTCTTTCACCTACATATGTAGGCTGCCTCTACTTCTGTGGTTCTTTGCATGTCTTATTCTTTGTTTTGTTGAGAATTAGCCATTTAAATTATATGCTGCAACTCTAGAAGTTCACATACACCCCCCTAGTTTATTGTATTTACTATTTGTTGTTGCTGTTTAGTGACTGTGTTAATTTGCTAGGGCTACTGTAAGCAAGTATTACAGCTGGGTGGCTTAAACCACAAAAATTTATTGTCTGACAGTTCTGGAGGTCAGAAGTTCAAAATAAAGTATCACATGGGTTAGTTCCTTCTGAGGGCTATGAGGAAAGGCCTTTCTCCTTGGTTTGGGGATGGCTGTCTTCACATTCATGCTTTTCTCCCAGGAAGCACTTTTTTTTTTGTGGTACCGGGGATTGAACTCGGGACCTTGTGCTTGTGAGGCAGGCGGCAGCACCACTGAGCTATATCCCTGGCCCGGGAAGCACATTTTGTTTCCAAATTTCCCCTTTTCTGTGTGTGCTTGCTGAGATTATCAACCTGGACACAGCGTCCAGGTCACCCAGAAGGAAATGATACAATCTTTCTCAGGTCTTTCTTGGGTGTGTATGTGGCCATGTAGAACCCCAGATATTGGAGCTTTTCAAAATTCTTTCTGGGCATCTCATTCCACAGCTTTTCCTTTTAAGGTTTTTTGATCTACTTCATTCTATATATATATTATATTATATATATATATAAAAATATATATATTATATAATATATAATATATGTAATATTATATAATATATATAATATAATATATATAGGGGTTTGTTTTGGTTTGGTTTGGTTTTGAGACAGGGTCTTGCTATGTAATTCAGACTGGCCTTGAACTCACTGTGTAGCCCAAGCTCGCCTCAAACTCAAGGCAGTTCTCCTGCCTCAGCCTCCCATGTGCTGGGATTACAGGTGTGCACTACCTGCCTGGCTTTAGTTAGCCTCTTGTATGTTCAACTGGTATCATTGTTTTAGGCAACTGCAATATGAAACAGTTGCTACTGATTACTTTTGACAAGATCCCTGGAGAATTGGGCTATTTTCCTTGAGTGAGCTCTGAGGTCAAATAGAGACAAATCTTGCCAGATTTTCTAGAGAGCTGCCAAAAAGGTCAAATAGTGACAGTTCTCTGGGATTGACATTTAAAATATCTCCTCTGTCTTTGTGGACTGATATTATTATAAATACAGTAAATTATCCATGGTAGTGTTAAAGAGCTCTTTTAAGTTTCTAAATGTTTTCTATGCTTCATGTAACTTTGTTATAAATAGCCCACAGATAGATTGAGGATCCCACTTGGAGCAGGCACAGTCTTGTCAAAAGACAAAATTACAACAAATTTACCAAGATCTCAATTGGCTTTATTTGCAGTTGCTTTTATTGGCAACATGTCATTCTATAAAATAAAACAAGTGTTCTGATGGGCTAAGCAGAGGAAGGTAGTTTTATAGACAGAGAAAGGCTGAGAAAAGCAGGAACAAAAAATAAAAAGGAACTCAGTCATTTCAGAGTTACTTTCCTTGTAATGTGGGAGACATAACAATAGAAAAATGATTGGTTAGTTAACTTCAGTTTACTAAGTTTTTGGCAAGGCTTAAGAATTATTGAAGCTATAGAATTTAGCCAGTTTGGGGATTTAGGCTTTCTCTCCTGATTCCTAGAAAGGTCAGGTAATAATTCTGTTTTGGTTTGATGGTGTGGAACTTTAGCGTGGGTGACTACAGTTTGATTTTTAGTCTGGTCTGCTGGGTCCTGGTAGGGAACCTAGTCCAAAACAGTAGCTTCCTGTAATTTTTTTTTTTTTTTGGTACTGGGGATCAAACTTGGGACATTGCATTTGTGAGGCAAGTGGTGGAACCACTGAGCTAAATCCCTGGCCCAGCTTCCCGTAATTTTTATTTAGCAGACTCAAAGTATTAACTTCTCCATGAAAAGTTACATTCCATTTTAATTTCTGGGTGACACAACTTTAACAGCACACATCTGACTGACAGGGACTTTTCATTCTGCTTCTGGAAAGTCACCTGGTATCTGGAAGTGTGTCATGCTTGTGAGGCTGTTTGGATTGGAGGGGCTCAGAGGCAGGCCTCTCTTCCCTCATGCTACCCAGACAGAGGTGTGGAGATGTGGGGGCAGTATCCTCTACTTTATTGGCCTTGAGAGGTGCTGGGGCTTTGGGAGGCCTCAGGTAATGACTGTGAGGTCCACAGGGAAGGCTGGAGTCCTTTTTACACCGTGGGCAAGGAAAGGCTCAGTGTAAAATGTGTGAGTTGTGTGATTAAACCAGGGAAGCTCCAGAAACTGAACTGGCACCATTTCCTTTTCACAAAACTTTTTGTGACCCCCCTTCTTGAGATTTTGTTGTCTTTTAGGTAATTGTAGGTTGGTAGATTCACGGTCTTTTGAAAATTTAGTAAAAAAATAAAAAAGAAAAGAAATTTAGTATTGATGACCAGGTGCTTTTCAGCATTTTCAACTTGTATTTTCTTATTTACAATTAAATTCATGTTTTGGTATGGTTCTAGGATGTTTTGATATTGGGGATGGAAATCACGGGCACTCTACTACTGAGCTACATCTTCAGCCCTTTTTATTTTTTATTTATTTTTTTTATTTCTTTAAAGGTACCAGGGATGGAACTCAGGACCTTGTACTTGCGAAGCCAGGCAGCAGCACCACTGAGCTAAATCCCCAGCCCTTTATTTTTTATTTTGGCACAGACTTTTGCTGAGTTGCCCAAGCTGGTCTTGGGATCCTTCTGCCTCAGCCTCCGGAGTAACTGAAATTACAGATGTGTCACCACACCCAACTTGGTTCTGTGACTTGATAAGTGCGTAGAATCATGAGACCAATAAATATTTCTGTCAATCCCCATACTTTTTCTGGGGCTTCCCTTTTATAGTCAAACCCCGAGTTCATATCTGCCGACAGGCACTGGAATAGACCTTGTGGTTCGGCCAGTTCTAGAATTTCTTATTATTGGAATTGTAGTCTAGGCAGCCTTCAACCTGGCTTCTGACATGATGTAATTCATCTATGTTAGTATGTGTATCTATAGGCTATTTTTACTGCTGAGTAGTTGCCACCAGATGGTTATATCACAGTGTCTCTCCATTCTCACTTGGGAGACACTGACACATTTCCAGTTTTTAGTGGTTAGGAATAAAGCTGGTATGAGGTTTGTGCGTGATCGTTGGGATTGATTTCTCTTGGATAAACACCTAAAACTAGTTTGCTGGGTAGGATGACAGGTGTATATTTAACTTGGATTGCCCTTGTACCGTAGTAATCTAGTGACCATGAAGGTGTCTGTTTCTGGGTTCTTTTCTGTCCCTTGAGCTGTGTCTGTTCATTTATACCACATCATCTTGCTTCCTTGAAGTCTTGAAATTAGCGTGAATCCTTTAGCTTTGTTCTTTTCCAAAAAAATTTTTTTTTGGTCATTCTAGCTTCTTTGTTTGTTTGTCTATTTATTTATTTTTGGTACCAAGGATCGAACTCAGGTCCTTGCTCTTGCAAGGCAGGCGGAACCACTGAGCTAAATCCCCGGCCCTGTTTTTCTGTTTCTAAAAGTGTCTGTCTCTGTCTCTCTCTCTCTCTCTCTCTCTCTCTCTCTCTCTCTCTCAGTCCTGGGGATCGAACTCGGGACCTTGTGCTTATGAGGCAGGCAGCAGAACCACTGAACTAAATCCCTGGCCCCTTTTGTCTTTGCTTTGTAGTTCAGGCTGGCCTTGAACACACTGTGTAGTGCTGGGATTATGGGTATGTGCCACCACACCCAACTCTAATAGTCATTAGAGTCAGTATGTCGATTTGTATTAAAACTTCTACTGAAACCTGGATATGGTGGCACGCACCTGGAATCCCAGCACTGGGGTGGCTGAGGCAGGAGGATCATTACAAGTTTGAGGCCAGCCTGGGCTACATAGTGAGTTCAAGGCCAACCTGAACTACATACTGAGACCTTGTCTCAAAAAAAAAAGAACTATTGAAATTTTGATCGGAATAATCTGTAGATGAATTTGGGGAGAATTGTATGTGTGTGTTTCAGAAAGAAAAAATAAAGACCGGTGATGTTGCTCAGTGAGATGGCCCTGGGTTGAACTCCCAATATTGCAGAGGAGGGGGAGAGAGAGAGATAGCTAGATTGAGATTGATTCATGCTGGCTGGCTATGTACTAGTTGTGTTTGTTGCACTGTGTTCAGGAGTGTGAGGCATGGTGGGCCGTGGAGATGGGCAGCTGAACAATAAGATAAAGAATGTCTTTCATGGGCTGGGGATTTGCAAGGTCCTGAGTTCTATCCCCAGTACCAAAACAGAAAAAAAAGAATGTCTTTCACAGTTAGTGGCTAGCAGGGCTGTAGAAGGTGTGATGTGCTCAGATGAAGTAACGAGAAAAGACGCTAAGTATCTGGGAAAAGCAAACAGCAGGGTCCCAGCTCTGAGAGGCTGTGAGCCTTGTCAGAACTCAATGAGCATCCACTTTGTGTTGTAGTATTTTAACCACATCAGTATTGAGGATTCTCGCGTCTACGAGCTGACCAGCAAGGCCGGGCTGTTGTCTCCATATCAGATCCTCCACGAGTGCCTTAAAAGGTAGGGTGGGTAGTGCCTCTCCTCCTGAGTCAGGTCATGGAGCTCTTTCTGGACATCCCACATCCTTGCTGGCTACTTGTCCCAAGGGGAGTTGTTGCTCATTTTCCCTGGGTGCACTGCAGCCCTTTGGCACTGGCTGTCAGGCAGAATCCTGTTGAATTGAAGCAAGTGTGGGAGAGTTACCTCCTCAGTTGAGAAGCAGATTTGGGAAAGGGTTGTCCTTTCCCTCAGAGAGAATTTAACAGGCTTTCCTAAAGCATACCTTCCCAGAGGTCACCATTTATATCGCCTCCGTTGATGTCACCTTATTGTCTTTGTTTTCTTTTAAAGAAACCATGGAATGGGTGACACATCCATCAAGTTTGAAGTGGTTCCTGGGAAGAACCAGAAGAGTGAATATGTCATGGCTTGTGGCAAGCACACAGTGCGCGGGTGGTGTAAGGACCTGTCTCCTCCCCTGCTTCCTGTACAGGATGATGTACTTTCAAATGATCACAGGGTGGGGGTGGGGGTGGGAGTGGCCTCGTGCTTCTGCGGCTTGTTCCCCTGCTCTTGCTTGGTGTGAATTCTGAGTCCCAGCTGTGTGTGTTGGCTGCCACACATTTGCCTGAGGCTGGACTGCTGGTCATCCTGCCTGCCTGTCTTCCTCCTGTCCTGTTCCTGCCTCCACTACCAACTCCAATCCTTGTGGTAGGAGGAAGAGCTGGCCTCCTGGAACAGCAGGCAGAGGTTCTTAGCAACACACCAGCCACATGCCTATCCCATTGCATGTCTTTCTAGTCTCTGTGGGCACCATCTATGTTCTGCCTACTTTGGTATCTAAAGAAACCACTTTTTAAAAGCTCAGAGCCGGGTGTTGTGGCACATATCTATAATGCCAGTACTCTGGGAGGCTAAGGTAGGAAGATTGCAAATTCAAGCCCAGTCTGGGCAATTTAGGGATTTAGTGAGACCTTATCTCAAAATAAAAGGAAGTGGAGGGGCTGGAGATGTAGCTTAGTATGAAGGTCGTGGATTCAATTCCTAGTACCAGAAAAGCTTATTTGAGGGCTGGGGATTTAGCTCAGTGGTTTTGATGCCTGCCTTGTAAGCGCAAGGTCCCAGGTTTGATCCCCAGTACCAAAAAAAAAGAAAAGAAAAGCTTACTTGAAGCTAGCTGTGGATGTATACACTTGTTAGTTCCAGCTCTTTAGGAGATTGAAGCAGAAGAATTGCTTGAGGCTGCAAGTTCAAGACCAGCCTAGGCAACATAGTGAGACCCTCATCTGAAAAAAAAATCAAAATTGTATAAGAAACTTCATGTGACTATTATAAGGACAAACTAGTTTTATATAATGGACCTTGGGAAATTGTAAAACCACATCAGACCGTATACCTGCTGCCTGTGGGCTTTCTCCATATGGCATGTAGGGTGCTGGGAAAAGGCAGAAGTGGCAGGTACTCTCTTATCTGGGTGAGGTGGCTCCTTGAACACTGGATGTTTGTGACTCCCTCTCTCCACCTTTGCTCTTCCTCTTCACAGGTAAGAATAAGAGAGTTGGAAAACAGCTAGCCTCTCAGAAAATCCTTCAGCTGCTGCATCCACATGTCAAGAACTGGGGGTCTTTGCTGCGCATGTATGGCCGAGAGAGCAGCAAAATGGTTAAACAGGTAACTGGACTCCTCATTAGGTCTTAGCTCAGTTGCCCTCTTTTCTGCTTCTCACCCTGGGCTTGCATCTGAGGGCTTGCTGTCAGGATTAGAGTTTGGTAGCACTGCTTTTTTTAAAATAGACATGTTCTTGCTATGTGGTTCTGGCTGGCCTTGAACTTGTGGTGATGCTCCTCCCTCAGCCTCCAGAGTGTTGGGATTATAGGCATGCACCACTGTGCCCAGCTAGCAGCACTGTTCTTCCTCATGGCCTCTCTGCTGTGCCATGCCTGTGACTATGCAGGCAGAGCATGAGGTCACCCAAATCACACTTCCCTCCTGAACCTGCTCTCAGTAGTTAGTAAAGTGTGAGTGATTGGAGGTAAGGCCCAGGCCTGGCTCTGTGACCTTTGGATGGTAGCTGGAGCATAAGGTAGGGCTGCAGGGCAGGCAGCAGAGGCTGGCAGTGAGCATGTCCTGGTACTGAGATGTGTAAAGACTTGGGAGCTGTGTTTCAGCCCTCCTTTGGGTGGTGCTCTCTTGTATTTAGGTGAGAACTCCCAGGAGAGCCTGAATAGTGCGTGTGTGCCACTTGGTTTTTATGGTTTTTGCCCAGATCTTGAGTTTTTTTTGTTTTTTGGGGGTTTTTTTGGTACTGGGGATCAAACTCAGGACCTTGCACTTTCAAGGCAGGTGGCGGAACCACTGAGCTAAATCCCCAGCAGATCTTGAAATTTAAATCATTGCTTCAACCTAAGGAGCCGAGGGAAGAACTGGGAGTTGAGTGTCTACATTTTTCATTTTTTCCCCTAGTGTTTGCAGAAACCACCTGAGTCACTGGCATCCCAGTGGAGGGGTACTAGGTATGAACAGGTTGGGCTGCAAGTGGAGTGACCCTGAAGACTCTGCTATGGACCTTTGAGCTACTGTCCTTTGGCTGAGCCAGGGGCCAGGAGAAGTACAATACTTCTTCAGATTCTGAGACCATAGCCTGGGCTTGGTCTGTGCTCTGGGGCTGGCAAGGAGAGGTCCCAGAGCCATGTAGGCCATCATGTGTTAAAGAACTAAAAAAATCAATCTCTTTTTTTCCTTCCCTCCCTCTCCTTCCTCTCTCTCCCCTCTCTCTTTCTCCTCTTGATGGTGCTAGGGATTAAACCCAGGGCCTCAGGCATGCTAGGTAAGCACTCTGCAACTCTGGGGGAGCTACACCCCCAGCCCCAGGATAAATGTTTTTGGTAAACAAGTTAAAATGCTTCTGTCTTTGCTGGTTATAGTCCTGGGCTGAGATTGAGGGAGAGAAAGGAAGCCTTTCTTTGGTCTGTGGAAACCTCCCTCAGATAGCAGGAGAGTAGTCTCAGCCTAGCACACTCACAGTGCAGAAAGAGTTCTGGCATCCTAAGGCGCACTGAGTGGGTGCCCTCAGTCATGGCCTCTCAAGAGGTCAAGGTCAGCTGATCCTGCTCAGTGCAGAGTTCAGTGTCTGGTGCTGCTGTGCTGGGCTATGTCTGGCCAGCAGTGTGGTGTCCCTGCTGGCTGTGGCCACCCTGTGGTCACTGCTGAAGGTTCCTGGCACAGTGAGTGCCTAGCTCCCTCCTCTGTCCAAGGCAAGAGGGGTGATTCTCTGTCATATAGGAGGCAGAAGCGGGTGATGTGGCTAAGGAACTGTGAACTATCCCCTACACTCTGCTGCAGTCAGCAGGGTAGGTACCATAGTGGGCAGATGTCAGGGTACAGTCACGTGGCCACTGCACCCGGTTGCCATGTGCCTGTTGGGCCCTGGTGCTCTTGGTTCACAAGGCCATGGGTTGCACTGCTGCCAGGCAGTCCTGAGATGAGGTTTTGTGTTCTTCAGGAGACCTCAGACAAGAGTGTGATTGAGCTGCAGCAGTATGCCAAGAAGAACAAGCCTAACCTGCACATCCTAAGCAAGCTCCAGGAAGAAATGAAAAGGCTGGCTGAGGAGAGGGTGAGCCCTATCCCACATCTGTGGTCCCATCCTACATACAGCTGTGGAGAGACACTGGACCCCAGGAACCCATCCCTGACCTTCTGCCACCTGGAAATGCCTGTATCCTCCTCTCCAATGAGATTGGCCTTTCTCTGAGCTTCAATATGTGTGATACTCTTATCAAATGACTTTATTTTTAGTTAAGTTAGAGAGCTGACAGGCCAGCCTACTAGCAGATAAAGGGCCCAGTTGATGGGGGTGACTATAGGTCAGCTTGGAGCCAGTTGTTTGACAAGGGCAGGGGTGGTACACCAATCAGATACCCTGGGGAACTCTAAAGGGGCACAAAACAGTTGAATCTGGGTAGTACTTAGTCATGATGAAGCTTTCTAAAACCACCATGGATGTCCCAGCCCCGTAGGGGTCTCACCATGCCAACAGTGTGTCCCCTGTCTCTAATCACTGACCAGGTGGCTACTCACAACCTGCCTGGGCTTTCTGGGCTAGGAGCTTTTTTGTAGTTCTGGCATCAGCCTAGGCTGTATTCAGACCTTGAGATAGTTATGGCCTACCCAGTTTGGGAGATGCAGTGCTCCTGCTCTAAGGTGAGTTGGCCTTGTCTCCCTGGAGCTAGCAGTCTGTACAGCCTTCGTTTATTAGATGGGTTGTGGGTCCCGAGGACAACAGGCCCATGCTACAGTAACCCCAGCTGGGGAGAATAAAAGCTCAGGTCATATTTCTCTGAGGCTACTATGACCTCACCCAAATTCTTCATTCTGTGTGCATGCTGCAGGGGTGTTGGTACACAGTGCTCTGCCATAGTGTTTCAGGGAGGCCCTCTGCAGTCCTGGCCTGCTCCTCAGGCCTTCCCTCCTAGCCACGCATCACAAGCACTGAAGAACAGGGGTCCCTAGTGCTATCCTGCTAGCCCATCCCCATCTTGTCCCTGAATTAGCCTCTTTGGGGGTGGGGTACTGGGGATCAAACTCGGGTCCGTGCGCTTTTGAGACAGCGGAACCACTGAGCTAAATCTCCAGCCCAAACAGGGTTTCTTTTTGGTACCAGGGATGGAACTTGGGACCTTGCGCTTATGAGGTAGGTGGTGGCACCACTGAGCTAAATCCCCTGCCCTGAATTAGCTTCTTACTAAGCTCACTTGCCATAATCTCTAACCTTTGTTATTTTTCCAGGAGGAGACTCGGAAGAAGCCCAAAATGTCGATTGTGGCATCTGCCCAGCCCGGCGGTGAGCCCCTGTGCACTGTGGATGTGTGAGGTAGGCAGCACTGGCTGGGGCACAGGGGCCATCAGCAGCGCTGCCGAGAAATCACCAGCCATACACCACCTGCTCTGCAGCGAGGGGCCTCCAACCCAAGTTCCTTCTCTGTGGCCAGTGTATCTGGGCCCAGCCTCTGGTACATGGGGACAGCCATGGCCACATAACACACACATCAAGCAGCATTTTTTTCCCTGGAAGCTGCTCCCAGGTCTAGATGGGTGTGTTTCAGGGTCACCTCCAAGTGACCACACATATGAAAGCTGATAGACAGCTGTAGACCCTGCTTGTATGTACTTGATAGACTTTTTAATGAAGGTTTTCATGAATTTTGGTATGTAATATGAACTGACAAGAAATGATACTTGGTGACAGATGAGATAAAAAAAGATAGCCGAATCCTGTGGGCATGGCTAGCTTGTGATGCCAGGTGGCCTCTATGCCCAGGAGTCCATTGGAGCCACTGCAGAGGACCTGGTCAGAAGGTGCACGCAGCACCCCCATCCCTTGCCATCTGCCTTCTGTCTTTTCCCCTTTTCTCTGAAAATGTAACAGAAAGGAATATTTCAGACCATTTTGATTTAAAATAAACATAATTTTAGTACCAGAACTACTTTTCAGAGATTGTGGGCAAATCATCAAGGTGGCTGTTTTCCAGTTGTGACCTGTGTTGCCAGTGACAATGACGTCTGGCCAGTGTCCCTGTGTGTCAACCTGGTCTGCAGTCCACTTTTCTGATCAGATCTTTGTGCCCTGATGCCACCTCCTTGGACACTGAGGACTCCAGCAACAATTTTTCACAAAGATTTTTGCACAGTTAAGTCCATCTGTCAATTTCTAAAGCTTTTATGGTATTTTAGAATTTGGAAAGAAACTTTTACAGTGAGACTAGAAGGTAGATATGGAATCATGTATTTTAGCAAGTGGATTTGTTTAATGAGAAACAGGGACCTTCAGTGCAGTCCATCAGTGATCAAGAGCTGGCTAAGTACATGAGTGGTATACAGCAGCAGAGGTGTTACTTCCTGGTGACAGCAGCCTCCCTGGATTGCAAGGGGAGCTGCCACGTGCAGTCAGGTTCATCTGTCACCTGTGCTCACTGGGTGGGCCTTGTGGGTGGGTGTGGTAGAAGTGTGTTTTTGCTTAAGCCCTAGGCACATGGGTGTTTTCAGGGCCCTGGTAGTGGTAGCCAACAGAGCCCATCCCAACCATCTGTTCAGGGGCTACATGCTCACAGCAGAAGCCCATCAGACACAGAAGCCCAGCCTTGGGCTACACCCTCATGTTCCATAGGATGTCTCCCACCATATCCTGCAGATGGTGTTGATGGCATGTGCTGTTAGGAAGACAGAATGTTGGCAGTGCCCCAGAATATATCTGTCCCCTACCACCTGTATGACTGGAGGTGGGGTCTGTATTGAACTTGACTGAAGAAATCCCCTAATCAAATTGCTGTAATTAGACACTTGCTTGTCTTGCCTCCTGTCTACAGCTGTGAATAGTCATTTGTCCATGACTTAAAACAGCCAGACTCACTGTCATGAACCAAAGCTTTGTGCACATGTATTACCCTAGAGGCCAGTGAACCTCGCTGTGGCCTTGCTGGTCCCAGGTGTAGCCACAACAGGTGCTCCATGCATTTGCAGTCTCTGTTGTCCTCTGTCTGCCACATGTGGGTGCGAGTCCTGTGTGCACACAGCCATACTGTAGGGCCAGGGAGCCTGTTATGCTGCTTCTCTGTGCTGGGCTTGTGGCTGTAGGATAAGCCTCAATGGTTTGAATATATAAAGTAAACTGTCCAAAAGGGAATGGTTGCAGTTTCATTCTTCTGACCATGGAAAACGGGTTTGTGGACCTTCAACTCTCTAGAGCTGTCCTAGTCTTCTGTGTGCTGGGGTGTCTACTGGATACAGCTTCCTCTGTAGGAGCTCAGTGGCAACCCAGTGTGCACAGCCTTTGGTTACTACATAGAGGTAGCCTCCCTCCTGGGCTGAGGGCCAGGTTAGCCACAGGAGGGTTTAGGAGGGACCTTCCCTCAGTCAGGTGCAGGGACAGCCTTCTGCCTTGTGCCCTCTACCCTGGCATACCCAGTTTGTGCTTGGTCCCGCAACCTGTATCTCTCCCACTCTTTGGGGTTACATTGACATACCAATAAAAAGCAAGATCTCTACTATATCCTTTAGAAAGGCTTGGAGAGCTGCCATGGAGAGCCTTGCAGTGATCCCAGTTTCCACCACAGCTAGGCACGTTCTTGGTTGTGCCCAGACCTGGCAGGAAGGATACTGGCTGGGGCCTGAGGACCAGACTGGATGAAGGGCAGAGGTTTCCAGGCAACAAAGAGGGTTGAGGTACTCTGCTCACCTTGTCCCTTTGCATCCACAGTAGAGGCCAGAGAAAGGAGCCTCTACACGCCAAAACTCTGGTTCTTAACACAGAAACACCCTTAGTTCAACAGCTGTTTATTCTGGCTCTTGCAACCTGGCTATTTCAGAAAGGATTTGGGGTAGGGGATACGCAGGAGTCCACCCACCTTCAGAAACCGCAGCCTGTGCCAACAGACTGGCTGGTCCTAGTGGGGCAGCTGGGGCTCATGTCCTGTGACTGTTCTCCTGAGCATCCTAGAATGAGAGAGGCTGTGGGGAGCCCCTCAAGCTTCTGCCCCATGATGGGCCCTGCTCTGCGAGAGCTGGGTTTTGACTCTACCAGGGCCTAGGATGAGAGGGGGACCCTAGTTTCCTGTGGAATATCATCAGGGTGCCCTGGTGGAGGCTGAGCTGGAGGATCTTGGTGCTCCAGAGTCCTTGTGCCATTGGGGTACTCCATCCTCTCAAACAGGATGAGCATCTCACAGTGTGGGGTCTGTGGGAACAGGTCCACTGCCATAGCCTTGACTGGTCGGAAGGGAGTGCCCTTCACCCGATTGGATGGGGCCCTGCAGAGGCTGTGGTAAGAAAAGAGTGACAAAGTGAGCCCCACAGCACCAGCCAAGGGCTTATATGGGAGGCAAATGGGTGCTGGGCCCTGGTCCACCCTGAGCCCCTGCCCCCAAAACTCACTCCACAAAGTTGCCCATGGCTGCCCGGGGGTTGCAGGAGACATACAGGAGCCTCTTGAGGTTCTCAGCCCTTCGGACAGCCAAGATCACCTTGGAATCTGAGAAGGCACAGACACTGGCTAGGTCTCGAAGGCCCAAGACTGCACAGCTTGGCAGGCCACTGAACATTGGTGTCCTCTTCCCTGTGTCACCTCCCCAAATGGAAGCTACTCACGCAGGCCGGCTCGGGGTGGGTCCAAGATAGCCACAAGTTGTTGAGAGACCAGTCTGCTAACCAGGGCAGGCACCAGGTCCTCTGCCCTCCCACAGTGGAACTCAACGTTGTTCAACTCTGGAGGTAGCACCATAGCTATTAGTGGACCCTGGGGACCCTCCCTCTCAGGGCCAGCCCTAGGAAGGGATGGAGCCGCCTTGGGAATATACTGAGGAGCTTGCTCTCTCTGTCAGGCAGCTACAGTACTGTGGTTCTGTGGCCCGGCCCCCCTCCATAGCCCCTGGGAACCATGGGATGGATCCCAATGCAGTGGATAAGTACACAGCAAGATAACTACTGCTCCCTACCCTGCCCACCTTCCCATGGCCTGCAGGTACTCACCATTGGCATGGGCATTCACCCGTGCATCCTCCACAGCCTCTTGGCTCAGCTCAATCCCAATAACTTTCTTCACCTTCTGAAATGAAAAAGGCAGACAATGCTCCCTTCCTTGGGGATTCTTCAGGGAGAGTAGTGTGAAGCACAGTGGACAACAGAATCAGACTGTCTGAGACAAGGTGGTCAACTTCTGTATCTTGAAGGTGATGGTCAGAGGGGCTTACAGGGTGGGGAGGTGGCATCCTCAGCCAAGGCAGGAGGGCTCACCTGGGCCAGGGCCAGGCCAATGGTGCCAGTGCCACAGCACACATCCAGCACTGTACTTCCCTTGTCCAGCTGGGCCCAGTCTTGGATGACTGTGTAGAGTACCTCAGCTCCAGGCGTGTTCACCTGGAGGGTGGCCACAGTGCTCTCAGGTACAGCTCAGAAGCAGGCCAAGCACCCCTATGCCACCCAGATTCCTGGCTCCATCCTCCTGAGATCTAAAGGCCTGCTCCCCTGGTGCTAGTGCCTCTACCTCATCTCAGTCAACAAGATACTGGTGACCTCACCCAGTCTCCTGGCTTTAAATACGAAGATATGGCAACAACATTCCTCTGTTTACAAGCTTTTCTTCTGGTCAGTAGACTTGTAGGGCACCCTCCCCATGCCAGCAGAGGGTGCTTCTGCCTCCCAAAACTTAGGCCAGGGCCCCTCAAGTTCCCTGGCTCTGTATCCCAATCCCACCTCTGGTGCTCCAGCAGGTCCTTAGCTGCTCCAAGTCCTTATACCTCCTACAAAGGTCTCCTTACAGCTTTCCATGGCAGAGTGAAGTTGAAACAGTGTCCCCTAGCCCAAAGGCCACCAAGGCCTCTCTCCTCTCAGAGCAGTGTCCTGTGGTGGTAAAGTGTACCTGTTCAACTTCCCTGTGATGAGAGATCACTACACATACCTATGGGTTGTCACAAGTATGCCATCAGTGGTGAAGGACCTCTTTCCTGCCTCAGCTTTTACCCTAAAGTACCCCACTTTGATGTTCTCCCCACATCTCTACAAGGCTGGCCCCTTGTTGCATCCAGGCCCATTCTGTACCATCATGGCCTACTGTCACATTAGGCTTCCCCATTTTCTTGTGCAACCAGAGATGGGGCTACCTGAAAGAAGGCATGAGGGGAGATCTGGAAAGTCAGCCCGAGTAGATCTTCCTGGATGCACCGGTCCCCAGCCACATGCTCCAGGGGCAGGCCCTCTTGGCTGGGGGTCTTTCTGTGGAAGGACAAGACTCTCAGTGTCATCAGCCCCTGTGGGAACCTATCCGTCCCAACCTAGGCTTCTCACCGCTGTCCCTCCTTCACGAAGTAGAGGCAGGTCACTCCACTGGCCCTGCCTGGCCCCTCCATGAAGTGTTGTGCCAGGGAGGTCTTCAGCCCTGTCAGCTCCTCAGGGCTCAGTTTCTGCAGTAGATAGTACAAAAGGCCTGTCAGGCTATGCTGAAGTGACCCTAAGCCAGATACCCTACCCAGCAGGGCCTCCTGCCTGGTACCTGGGGGTGGAAATAGGCAATGGCCATGGCCTGGCCTCGGCGGCTGGTACGCACAGTCAGCTGCTTCCAGTGACCTGCATAGGTCTCAGGATCATATGCTGAGTATGGGGTAGACCTGTGGGAGACACAAATGGCCCTAAGCACCCAATGTCTGCCAACCAGAATTGGGGTGGTAGCCCCTGTGGTCTGTCACCAAATGGCAGGCACCCCAGGACTACCTGGGTAAGAACCATGTTCCCAGGAGGCTAGTCCCAAATCCTCACCGGATAAACTCCTGGAAGGCTTTCACCACCTGTTTGGTGGCCTCAGGGATGTGCACCGTATCAAAGGGGGCTGCCACAGCACATGTTCCACCTTTGTACTTGCCGAGCCGGCAGCCAACAGTATTGTCCTTCCCATCCACCCCGATGCCGACCAGAAACTCACACTTATTTCGATACTCAGTCTGCAGGGAGAGGAAGCAGAGGCAGACAGACCTTACTGTGGCTGATTGGCACTGGTGCCTGGAGACAACACTACAGTGAGTGAGAGACCCCAATTCCCCAGGGAGAAGACAGATGAGTGACAACTAATAGTCATGTGATGAGACCAAAGACCAAGAAAGAAAAAGGTGGGAGAAATGGAAAGGAGCAAAAGCAATGTTTTTCAAAAACAGGATGATGTGCTAGGTAGGAGTGTAGCTCAGAATGCTTGCTTAGCATGCTCAAGGGCCTGGGTGTGATTTCCCCTACTACAACAAATAAAAAACCTGAAAACACAGGATGGGGGTCTGTGGCCACCCCAGTCTAGCCTGACCTGCTGGGGTGATGGTCTGACCCCCTCCAGTGGACAGCAGGCCTTGTTGTGCTTGTGCCTCTGTGTGAGCAGCCAGGGCAGCAGGGCACGGTTGGTGCTCCCAATTTCTCTGCAGGATAAAGCAGATCCATGGTTGGACTCTGCACATTGCCTCTCACCCACAATGGGTCCCTCCCTAGAGGCCTCACTATTCCCACTGGCAACAGGGGCCTTACTGGCAAGCTCCCCGATGAACAGCTCAGACCCTGTGGTGGGTGTCCCATCCAGTGCACAGGGCAGAGCAAGAAGCAGAGGGTGCCTTGTGCCAACACTCACTTGGCAAGCCTTTGCAGCACCTGCTCGCATTCAAGGCGCTTTCTCTCCAGCTGCTCAGCATAGGGTACTGTCCAAAGGGGGGTCACGACGTCAGCAATTTGTGTTGCGAGTGGCTCACCCTCACCCTCTTGCTGCCTCCTCCTCGCCATGGGGTCAGCCTTGGGCCGGGCTAGGCGCACACTGAGTGGGCGGCCTTTCCAGAGGGCACCATGCAAAACTCGCAGGGCTTTATCCCGCTCAGCAGCGCTTCGGAATGTGACAAAGGCACAGGGTGGCTGCCCAAAGAGTTTGGTTTTGTGGGGTTGCAAACCAAAGCGGCCCAAAAAGCGTCGGACATCGCTGAAGCTGGCATGGCGAGGTAAGTTCTGCAGTTCCAGCTTGAAGATCTCTGAGGTGAACAGGTCGTCCCTGATGTAGCTGTAGAGCCCTGGTTGAGGCCCTGGTTCTACAGATGCCCCAGGCCCTTCTTTCTCCTGCTCCTCCTGGGCTGTTGGGGCTGCAGGGTTCCCCAGGGCACTGCAGCTTTCCTGGCCACAGTCCTTCATGGGCTCTGGGTTCTGTGTGGCAACAAACAAGGACCAGGCTGAGGGCTGGACTCGGGTTGACACCCTCCCTCAAACCAGGCTCCCTTTTCCCGCACTCGACCTCCATCAGTGCACCCTACCCCTAACTCCACTCCATCTCCCCCTTTCCACCCTCCTGCCCCCACTCCCATTTCCTTCACATCCTTTAACCCCCTTATTCCCATCTCTTCTCCCACAACATTCCTACCCTATCCTACCTCCTCCCACTCCATCCCCACTTCCGTCGTCCTCGCATCTCTCTTTACTTCGTTGTCCATCTTCTCACTCATCATGTGGGCCGTCTGCCACCTGGACAGGGGATCTCCACGAGCTGCTGCCTCGGCACCTTGTTCTGGATCTGTCACACGCGAGGTGCTCTAAGAGCTGGTGCGACGCGGAGAGGGCGCCTCAGGCCTCCGTTCTAGGCAGGATTCGTCTCCTAGAGTGCTCAGCATGGAATTCGACCTACCGCCCACCAGGGACCTGGGCCGGGCGATCGCCGTACCGGGCCCTCTTCAGTCGGCCAGCGCATGCCTCCCGAGCTCTTCTTCTATGGTCGTGACTTCCGGTGACGCCATCGCAAAGTGCTGGGTCAGATCGCTTCACCTCCTTTCACTAGCGGAAGGGCACACCTCCGGGGGGCGGAAGTGCGCGCGGGGATCGCCGGGAGAGAGCGCTCTCCAGGTTGATGGGCGGGCCGGGCATGCGCCGCGGGCATTTTGGCGGGAAGCACTGGGCGGACCGGACAATGGGAGTGTCCGCCTCCTGAGCCAATAAAGCTGCGCTGGTTTTGAATCACAGCGCGTTTCCCGCCGCCGGGGTCAGGGGTCGGGGTTCGGGTCGTGAGGCGGAGGGAAGAGCGGGCGGGCGGGCAGGAGGCGCCGGTGCTAGACGCGGAGGAAAGGAGCTGCGAGTAGCCGCCTAGAGGCCGCGGAGTCAGCGACGACCGAGCTAGCCGAGCCGCCGCCGCCGCCGCGCCCTCATGGCGGCCGCCAAGGTGCGGCCCGGGCGGGGACTGGGCGGGCGGGGATCGGGGGGCTGTGGCCGCTACAGGCGGCCACGTGGGCCGCCCGCGCTTGTGCTGCCAACCCCCGTCGGTGATCGGACCCGGGGCCTGTTGAGCTCGGAGTTGGGGCGCGCGGGGCCTGAAGGCTCGAGGCCTGTTGGGTCGGGGCACGTGGGGCCTTGGGGAGCAGTTTCTGGTCGCGAGGACTGTGGGATGCCCGCGTGACCTTGGGGTGGGTCGGAGAACCATCGCCACGCAGTGCGGCCCCTCCGCTGGATCGGGACGGGCAGCTAGTTTTCTCTGGTTCAGCGCACGTTTACAGGCTTCCAACTAGAACTGTACATCCTTCCCTCGTGTCGCCCACGCAGCCCTTCATTCATTCGGCCCCTAACTCTTTAACCGCCACGGGCTTCTGTGGCGGAAGCTCAGTTTTCAGGGTGGGTGAGAACAGATACTGGATGCGCCCGATCCAGGGCGGGGGCGGCTTTGTTGGCTGCTGGTGACTGGTCTGGTGCTGGCCGCAAAGGAGCCGCAGTGCTGTGAAACCAAGGGGAGAGCAGCAAAGATCTTGTACTTACTTTCCACATCTGAGTTTGATAGCGAGTCTGGGATTTCTTTTGGATCACCAGAGCACATGTTTTGTAAAACTTAGACCTAAAATATGACAGTTTGTGCCCTAAATTTCTCTAAATTGGGCCAGAATCTTATGCCATTTGTTTGTAGATCTTTCCTTAGCAAGCTATCTACTTCATTTTCCAAGCCAAGGTAAGATTTCTGGAAGAATTGTGAATTCCACGTAAATACTAGCAGTCTCAGCAACTTGTTAACCTTGTAGTAAGCAAGAGCATGGATATTTCAGTTATTGATTAATTTTTTTTTTTTTTTGGTTCTGGGGAACTCTGGTCCTTGCTCTTGCCGGGCTGGGGGTGGAACCACAGAGCCAAATCCCCAGCCCTAATCACTTTCTGCTTTAAGGCTAACACTCCTCCGGAATTCATTGTTGTGCTTTTTGATCTTCACATGGAGCAGGTATCATTACCTGCTTTTTACAGATGAGGAAGCAGTATCAGAGATAAGAGTCTGCAAGGAGCGGGAGCCGCAGTCCATGAACATGGAACTGATTGAATCTAGGGGAAAGTTTCTGAAATCTGGGCTCTTGCTGCATGCTTATGCTGTGATTTTTTTTGTGGAACTGAACGTAAATGTAAATCTTTGCTAATGTGAAAGGCTATGGGCTCAATTTCCAATGTGGATGAGGCCTGTTTTGTGTTCCAGATGCCATTCATTATTGGGGATCCCCACTGTGGGCACTATTGAATTCTGGCTGCAGGCCGAGTCCACAAGCCAGCAACATCACTTCTCACTTTTCTCTACAGGATACTCATGAGGACCATGATGCCTCCACTGAGAATGCAGATGAGTCCAACCATGACCCCCAGTTTGAACCAATAGTTTCTCTTCCTGAGCAAGAAATTAAAACGCTGGAGGAAGATGAGGAGGAACTTTTTAAAATGTAAGCAGGTTGGGGCCGGGGATTTAGCTCAGTGGTTCTGCCACCAGCCTCGCAAGTGCCAGGTCCTGAGTTTGATTCCTGGTACCAAAAACAAAACAAAAAATGTAAGTAGGTTGATGTTGCCCCAGAAATATAGGTATCTTTGGCACAAAGCCATAAATTTTTTCACTTTTTTTTTTTTTTTTTTTTCTTTTGTGCCGGGGATCGAACTCACCTTACGCTTGCGAGGCAGGCGCCGAAACCACTGAGCTAAATCCCTGGGCCCAAAGTCATAAATTTTTTGGGGGGTGGTACCGGGGATCGAACAGCAAGCAGCAAAACCACTGAGCTAAATCCCTGGCCCCAACAAAGTCAAAATTATTAAGACAGTTAAAAAGGAAGTTGATTCTCACCCACCCCCCCAGTCTTCAATGAAGAAGTAGATTTCTCAAACTATATAAGCTTTCCTCAAGAAGCCAGCCAGACTGGGAATTCTGTCTCCTATTGGCCTGACTTAACCAAGGCTGCTTGAAGAAAGGGCTGTGTGATGACTAGCCCCATATGGAAATTCTTCTCTTCTTTGTCTGTCTCTGTCTGTCTCTGTGCCCCATCCCCCCTCCTTTTTTTCATCTTTCTCTTTGTTTTCCCCTCAGACCGGGGATGGAACTCAGGACCTTGCACTTGCCAGGCAGGTGCTGTGCCGCTAAGCTACATCCCCGGCCCCGTTGTGAAAATTTTTTGACTCATCTTTTCTGGGTGCCCCTGCTGGCCTACCTTGCCTCCAAGAATTCACATTACCCTTTCCTTGGTTGAACAGGGAATCTTAACTGTTTTTGCAGCTTGAACTGTATCTCATTCTGGTTTTTGTTGCTATAATTGGATATCACTGACTGGATCATATTAAAGAATAGAGGTGTATTTAGCTTATTCTGAAGGCCAGGAAGTCCAAGAGCATGGTGCCAGCCTCTGATGAGGGCCTCATATTGCAGCTTAAAGTGATAGAGAGCATCACATGGTGAGACAGAGCCAAGTGTGCTAGGTTGGATCTCTTCCCCTTACAAAGGCATGAATGGCGTCATGAGGGCTCATGTTCTTGGTCTCATCTGGTCCTTTTTACCTCCTAGAGATCCCCACTTCCAAATGCATGAATTGGGATTTAAGTTTCATACATATGAACTTTGGGGTCAGATGACTTTAGCAGACAAGCATATGAGTCACCTACTTAATGTCTTTTGTGCACAAAATAATGCCTGGAAATACAAGGAAAATGGCTGATGACTCAGGTATCAGGGTTCCTTTTAAAAAACTATTCTACACATGCTACTTGGTCCCTTCGATGAAGACCTTCAGTGGCAAGTGTGGTTTTGAAGCAGTGCTGGCTACAAACTTTGTGCCTTAGAATGTCATAGCACCACAGAGACTGTGGCCCGTTCCCTACACTAAGAGTTGTTGGAAACACTAGATTCAGTTACATATTAATGAAAGTAAGGTTGTTTTTCTTAGGGAAAACCCCTTTCCTCTTTGAAGCATGTCCAAGATGTCAGGTTATAGTTTGGCTATTCTGAGGTAGGGAACACTGAACCTCCCTCCAAAGAAGTGGGCTGGAGAGGGAGGCCTAGGCAAGAAAGAAGAGCTGCAGGTACCTCTGGTCCCAGGAGTTAGGGGGCCATTTCCCTGAAAACATGGGATCACTAGGTTTCTGTTCCACTTAGGGGGTGCTGCAGGGGTCCCCCCCTTGGTGGGGGTAATGGCTCCTCCCTAAGGTGACAGGGTATTTGCTTCTGCCATCTCTGTCCACATGGGATGAAAGTGTGCTCCTGTTTGGACAGGAATTCTTGCTGTGGGATATGAGGCCAGCTATTTGGGCCCTTGGGCCTCCTGTTAACAAATCTTGTGAAGATAGTGTCTCCCTTGACAGAATCGAATTTGAAGAGTCACAGAATCCTAAGCAGGAGAGGAACAGAGCTGTGAGTGCAGGGGGAGGGTGCTTGCCTATCCCTGAAGATAAGACTACTAGATTCCCTGCCAGGTCCTGGGTCCCCACATCCCTTGGTGGGAGTGAAGAGCTGTTCCTAGGTGGTGACCCAGGGCCTGCCTCCCCAAACAGGCTTAGTCTCTCTGTCGGGGGCTATGGGGAGAACAGGGACATCTATCTCACAGTTGAGGGAAGTCCTGGCTCTGGAGGCTGAGGTCCCCATGGCTCTGTGGTATGGGGTGCTCCTGCATGGTATCTAGGATGCCCAACCCACTGAGGGCTTTAACCACTTTGGGCCTATGTACCTTTGAGAGATCACATTTCTGTTAGGAAGGATAGATGTCTTCTTTTTGTTTGTGAAGATAAAACAACTTGGAGTTTATTGGGCTGTGGTGCTTATTTGAGTGGTATTTTGCGTAGTAGTTTTTAGAGCCTGAAGGAGGGACAGGGCATTTGTACAGACATGGGGTCCCATAGCAGAGTTGTGCTATGTGTTTAATGAAGAGGACAGATGTTCTTTTTGATGAACATTTAGCATGTGCATTCCCCTCTCTGCAGGCTAAGCATTCATTTAATGGTTTTTCTCACAGGCGAGCAAAGTTGTTCCGATTTGCTTCAGAGAATGATAGCCCTGAATGGAAGGAACGAGGCACCGGTGACGTCAAGCTCCTGAAGCATAAGGATAAGGGGACCATCCGCCTCCTCATGAGGAGGGACAAGACCTTGAAGATATGTGCCAACCACTATAGTAGGTTGTCTTTGGGATAGTGTCTAACCCTGAGCTTAGTGCTCTGGGGAGTGTGATGCTACATGCAGAGCATGTTTGTGGTGCTTGTTGAATTTAAAAAAAACTCTGAACTTCGAGCAAGGCTGTGGTAGAACGTATAGTGTGGGGTGCAGCCAAGAAGTAGCAACAGTGGGTCCCCTCTACCGTGTTAGTCTGTAGCTACCATGCAGGCTCCTGGTGGGTACAGTGTTCACATGTGCATGCCAGACTGTCCCTTGGTGGACTTCCCAGTGCCAAGTCTTGTTTTCTGAGCATAATTTGTATCTAATGGGACAGAGATTCTTGTCCTGGGCACAGAGGTGATTTTAGGCAGGGACTGGAGTTGAGTGGCCCTTGATGAAATGGAAGGGTGCGTGGGTTTGCAGTAGCATGAGAAAGACTTCATTTCCACCCTGTGCTACAGTTGCCTCTTGTCTCTTCTCCTCCAAGCCTAAAGAACTTCCTTGGGAGCTGGCTCTGGTCTGATTGGGTTCCTGGGTAGTTTCTGTGAGAAGCTTGGGTGCCTGGGCAGAGCTGCTGATGTGGCCAGAGCTGCTGATGTGGCCAGCAGCAATCGGCCCTCAGTGGATGGAGAGGAGGGTGGTCACTGAGTGGAGGCCAGGCCAAGTAGGATGTAGGAGAGGTATGGAATGGTCATCATGCAAGCACCCCAGTGACCAGTGTGTCAGCCTCCAGTGGACAAGATCCCCAAGCTCCTGGTTTCAGCTATGATTGTTGAGAGTGGCCAGGCGCCCATTAGCCCCCTGGAGTTTCTGGAGACCTCTGCCAGGGGAGCAAGGGATGGGGGTGTGCTGATTAGGCACAGGCACCAGGGACACTTCTGGACTTTGGGAACCTTCCTGATGATTTGTCACCTACAGGGCCATTTGGAGAGTTTCCTTTGAGGGCAGCTTCCAGCTTGGTGCTGTGACTTATTTCCATTCAGCTGCCCTTGGGTCTGTGTGGGACATATGGGATTCAGGATAAGCGTATTTATTTGGAGCCATAGTTTTGTTTTCTGTGACACTGAACTGTCTGTTGTGGGACTTTTGGTGTCTACTGCTTGTGTCCTCATCCCCTAGTCTAGTGGTCTCTGGACTAGAGAGTTGAGAGTGGTTGGGCAGCCTGACCATCTTCCCCTCTAGGTGATGTTCCTGCTTCTAAGCTTCTTCCCCTCCACTGCCCCCCATCTTCCCACTAGCCAGGTCCATAATGGTATCGATGAGTGTGGATGTAGCCACGTGTTAAGTGCTGTTAGGAAAGGCTTGCCCCCTTGGCCTATACCTTGAACATCTGACATGGGGCCTTGGGACTACACAGCCAGGGTTTGGACCAAAGGGCTAAAATTGGGCTGGAGCCTGCTTTGCCTCCGTTCACTTTTCTGGAGGTAGGTTTTGTAGACTTTTAAGTGACCCTAAGGTGATGGTTCAGAAGACATTTGCTGAGTGTCCTTATGAGTTTGACTAGGCCTGGTTCTCAGACCCTGAACTGTCTCTGTGTTACCTAAAGTGGGCCAGTGAGTGGGACGCTCTGGGTGTCTGGGTTGGTCTCAGTGTCCTTAACCATCCTCATAGACTTCTCTCCTCATAGTCACGCCCATGATGGAGCTAAAACCAAATGCTGGCAGTGACCGTGCCTGGGTCTGGAATACCCATGCTGACTTCGCTGATGAGTACCCCAAGCCGGAGCTGCTTGCCATCCGCTTCCTAAATGCTGAGAGTAAGCAGAAGGGGGTACTGGGGACCTTCCTGACTTTACTGCCTGCCTGACAATGCAGTGATTTAATTGCATACAAATGCTTTGCTTTGCATGAAAGCTGACAGTGACTGGGGACAGTGCTAGTCTGCTGTTAAATTCCAAGGTATCTGTGCTGAGCTGCTGAACAAGTGTCTACTGAGCAGTCTTGGGCCTGGCACTTAGTTTGCTGCCTAAACTCCAGTTCCTGTCGGGCATGTGTACCCAAAGTTAAACTCGAGTTTATTTCCCCAACTGCTTTTTTGCAGTGCTGGGAGTAATGATGTCCTCTTATGGTTGCATGAGTACCAGTAATCAGAGATCCACAAGCCCAGGGTGACACTTCTGCTTTGGTTTCTTTCCCATCTGGATTGTCAAAAGTTGTGCCCTGTGGATCTTGGAGAGGAGTTGGTGTGTGCAGTGGACAGCATCCCATTGACTGACAGTCTGGTGTTGAGTGACCCTTGCCCTTGCTGTGGAAATGGGGCTGTCCAGTAGCCCTTCTAATACAGGGGCAAGGAAGTACCCTGCCTCTTGGTTGCCCAATTGTTAGACTAATGGAGGTGGTCTAGCGCAGCTGTCAGCCTCAGGAGGGACTTGGTGAATGTTCACTGCTGGTGTCAAATGGCTTGGCCCTTCCTTGGGCCATAAATTGCCATGGGACAAGTTTCTCTCTGAACCCTGCCTCTTCAGACCCTCCAGGATGTATCCTTTGCATGCTCTGGGCTCTTAGGAAGTCATTTCTTTTCTTTCCACAGATGCACAAAAATTTAAAACAAAGTTTGAAGAATGCAGGAAAGAGATTGAAGAGAGAGAAAAAAAAGGTGACGGGGTGAGGGGTGTCCCCTTGCAGACTCACTCTGCACTTGGCTGCAGCCTCCAGGCAGGTGCTTTTTCCGTCTGCCAGAGAACCATTCCAGGGAGCTGTGGGAGCCTTGACCTCTCAGGGGTGATGCAGCTTCCTGGAGACAGAATGCTTCCTGGTAGGCCCCCAAGCTGTGTTCATTGTCATTGGCCTCACATTGCTCTTGTCCAGGTAGCCAGTTGAGTCATGACTCTCTGGAACCTATGATGGACTAAAGGTACATTGAGATGGTCCTCGCTTTCTCAGAGGACTCAGTCTCTTGCTCCTCAGGTGTAGATTGTGGGTGCTATAGCAGGGACCATGTGTCACTGAACCTCCCAGCAGGAGGGGCCAGCAGCATTTGCTGGTGCTTCTGAGCTCAGCTGGGAAGAGTGAGTGGAGGGTGATGAGGTGAATGAGGTGGCTCCTGAACTTGGCCTGGCAAGGAGAGCTTAGTCCAAGAAGCTTTGCTTTTTCTTTTACTGTGCTTGCTTTGTGCTTTGTTCAGCAGGAACGGGCAAAAATGATAATGCTGAAAAAGTAGCTGAAAAGCTAGAAGCTCTCTCTGTGAAGGAGGAGAACAAGGACCCTGGAGAGGAGACCGAAGAGAAGTCAGAAAAGCAATGAGTCCTCTTAACTTCTCTCCTTTTGCTTTCTTTTTTTCTTTTTAAAATTTTTCCCTCCCCCTTCTTTTTGTTTTATTTTAAATTCTGTTTTGTTTCTACAAGGGACTTTATATAAAAGAACTGAATCTCAACATTCAGGCCATTTTTGTTTTGTTTTTCTAAGTTTTTACCCTATTGAAGATGACTTCAGAAAATCCATTCCCCAGTCATGAAAATGTACTGTGCTAACTTTCTTTTCCATAGTGGAAACACTTATTTATAGTCATCAAAAATAGTAAATAAAAAATGCATTTGAAACCTGGACCAGATGGCAGGACTTTGTGTGTGGGCCCAAGTGGTGAGCACTGCTGTCCTGCTGGCTCCTGGCCACCCATCTCTGTGGCTTGAGTACATGTCCAAGTCTGTCTGCAGCGGTGGCAGCAGGTCTCCATGTCACCACAGCTCGATTTCCTGGGACACTCCCTCTCACATTGCTGAGACTTTGGACAACTGCTGCTTTTGGCTCTTGTAGGACAGTGTCTGAATGGTGCTAGGGCTGCCTAGTGGGCTGGGCATCATGGGCCAATAGCTGAGGGTCAGTGCTTAGGGCTGAGGTGTGCACTGCCTCCTTGAGCTACTGTTCTGCACTGTGGTGAGGGAAGGTAGGCTGTATTTGTGTGTGTTGGGGACAGGAGGACCACCAAAGTATATTGGCTTTGGTATAGGAGGTAGGAGCCAGCTGAACAGATCTCCAGGCTTTAGCCAATGTTGGTTTTGGGTCCGCCCTTGTGGGCAGAGCAGTCAGTATGGCCCCTGGTCCTATGGCCCTCCTGTAGGAAACCCTGTCAGATACCCTACCACATTCTCAGAGAAAACTTCATTTGGCTCTGGACTTTCTAGGCTTGAAGTCTAAACTCAGCATTATTGGGATTGTGGGATGTTCACAATAGCATCAAATAAAGACATTCTCAAGGGTGCCATTTGGGAGTCAGTCATAAAGCAGGTCTCTGTAGATAGCATCTTGAGAAAGGTTTTCAGTGTGTGAGGCTTTTTTTTAAGAGTGTGATCTTGCTGTCATAATGTGATGTGGGATGACTTGAGATAGGGCTCTGGGGACCTGGCCACAAGAGGGTCTTGATCATGTCTCCTGTGGCAGTTTGCCGTCAGGACCTAGTAGAGGTGTTTTACAGTGTGGCTACCTGCTCATCGTTCTTGCTTCTTACTCTCTGCCTATCAGCCTGTCTCCTACCAGTTAGCTCCTGTTGTGACCACGTGTCCTCCTTAAATACCAGTCCTTGGTCCTTGTGGGAGTAATGTATTTCCAAACAACTGTTCTTGGGTTTTTGTTTTGTGGTTTGCTGTGGTTTTTTGAAATGGTCTTACTCTGTAGCTCAGGCTACCCTTGAACTCAGTTTGCCCAGGCTGGGCTTGAACTTTAAATCATCCTGTCTTAGCCTCCTAAGTGCTGGGATTAACAAGCATGCATCACCATGCCTGGCTAGGTTTTAAAGGCACAATTGAAAACTTCACCCACTGTCTTTGTTGTGTCCTGTCTGCCAGGGGCCTTGCAAGTTGTTTCCGACAAGTTGGCAACTTGATTGGACTCTTTCCACCCCAAGAAGATAGGCTCATTTTTACATTTGGCAAGCTTCCGATACATTGGAATTATGGCACGGTTTACCATAGGTGGCTCCTCACTGTGCTGTCTCCCTGTAAACCCCACTCCAGACCAGTAGTCATGGCAATCAGGTGATACATTGATGCATACAAAAGGCTATGTCCCCATGCTTTTGATCTTAAGAAAAGCTCTTGGTTGTTAGGTACCCCTTTCAGCATTGAAGCTTAACAGTCTCTGCTTTGGGTTCCAATATGACTCCAGGCTGAGTGAGCCCTTTCACCAGAGGAGTCCCTGGTAGCAAAAAGACCCCTCAGAATTGCCAGGAACACTGCTATCTTGTGCTTGGGTACCATTAAGGAAGTAGTTTGCTGATACTGTAAAAGGAAGGTAAGTAGGAGGCATGAGTCCAAACATCAGTCATGTTGACCATAGTATAGGTCGATTAAGGACACCAGCAGGGGCTGTGTAAGCCACCTAGCTTGGCACATTTCCAGGTGGGCTCCCTTTGACAGAAGTCTTAATTTGCTGGAGTTCTTATAAGAAATGCATTGATGTATGGCAGTCCCACCTTTCCCACAATGCCATTCCAGGATTCCCAGTGGATGCCGGAAACCTCGTAGTATCAAGCCCTATAAAACACTAAATTTTCTATATGCACCTAAGACAGTTTATGAGTTGGACACAAGATATTAAAAACCTTAATAAAATAGAAAAATTATAACAATGCTGTTGTTATACATTGTTAATAAGTGAATGTAGTAACTTTTTGGCACCAGGGATTGAACTCCGGACCTTGTGCTTGCAGGCAGGTGCAGCCCCCGCTAAACTACATCCCCAGCCCCAAAATATCTCTTCTAAAAAAAAAAAAAAAAAAAAGTCTATTACAGGCTGGGGATGTAGCTCAGTGGTTCCACCGCCTGCCTCACAAGTGCAAGGACCCTAGTTCGATCCCTGGTACCAAAAAAAAGTCCATTATAAACACAGTAACTGCCAGACTACCAGATTAAAACACAAAACAATTATACTAAAGCAAGGTACACTTTTAGATATACTAGCCATGCTGGATTATAATTACTTTTTTGAGATAATCTTGCTATCTAGTTAAGGCTGGCCAGGCTGGTCTCAAATTTGCAGTGACCCTCTTGCCTCAGACTTCTAAGTGTTGGGATTATAGGCTTGTGCCACCATGCCCAGCTAATTCCTTTTTTTATCTTAGCTAATTAAGTTGAAACTACCTTTTCCACTTAAAGGAAGCACTTTACAGCTGTTAGGCCAGCATCGCTATTGAACTTTGGGGCCATTAAGTAAAATAAAGGTAACTTGAAAAGAAGCACTGCCATAAAAAGGCTAAGTATCAAGTGAACAGGTAGTAGGTACAGCGTGGGTATCTTGGGCTAATGGAGGATTCATATCCTAGGGGTAAGAGCAAGACTACAAGATTTAACACTAAGAACAGTACCACATTCAAAGCACACAGCTGGATCAGGTGAACTACACCTATAATCTCAGCAATCTGAGAGTTGGAGGAAGGAACATTTCAAACCAGCTGGGTCTGGGGGGATGGTCCCTCCTGATGGAGTCTGAGCTCCCTGGGTTCTGTCCTGCAGAAGTGCAGGAGCAAGAGCAAGGCCACGGATGGGGTGCTGTTCTGCTGGAAAGGTGTTTGTAACCCGGAGCTGAATGTGTACTCTGCCCACCATTGTGTCCCAGACCCTTCCACCCACTGCCTTAAGGTCCTCTTCAGTGCTGGGAGACCCCTCCCCACCCTTGTGCTGGGCCTCCTGGCGTGGGACCACCTGCAGAGCAGAAGGCTCATCACCATTTACGCTGCTGAATAGCTGCATTAAAGGCCCAGGTCCCGGGTTCCCTGTAACAGCCCATAGCCCACTCAGGGCTGGGTGCTTCATTAGGCCTCTAGGTCAAGAAACAGACTTGTGGCCGTGTGTCAGGGAGGAGGTCGCTGCTTTGTACTGGGTCCTGGCTACGGAGGAGCAGATACCCAGGGAGAGAATGCCCACCAAGAATCCCCACCTAGGGAGGGCTCTAATGGGTCTGGGTTTAGGAGAGGTTACAGCTGCAGTGGCCAGGACAAGAAGCCCTTGCTGCTGGGAGGCAGTGGAACTTGATGGGGGTCCTCACTCACGAAGGGTACTGCTGCTGCCTGCCAGGCGAAGCTAGCGCAGGTGCCCAGCTGGCCTGCCCACATCTCTGGCGTTCTCAGACTTCCTCGGACACCGGTCCACCTTAAGCGGTGGCGGCCACAGTGCTGGCGGGTGGGATTTCCTCCAGGATGTGGGCCTGCGCACCCGGCCTATCCCGGGTCGAGGCACTGTGCCGGTCTTCCCAAGGGGCCACCCTGCCTCAGGGAGGCGCCCCTGCTGTCTCCCACTGGTGCTAGCTCTCAAGCGTGCAGCCTGGGCGAGGATGCTGAAGGACCTGCGGCCCACTGGCCTGGTTGTGTTCAGCCCAGTGACCTGAGGGCTGTGAGGTGGACAGGGTTGATAAACCTGCAGTGAGAAACCACAGTGCCCCTGCAGTGTCACAACTCTCACCCCACCCTCATGCTGCCAGGGGCTGCAGAAGACAGCAGTTTGGCCCCGCCCGGGAATAGCACGGAGCAAGGGCCATCAGCCTGCCTCGGGACGGCCTGGTGGTGGTTAGGGATGAAGCTGTGTAGGGAAAATGTCTGTGGGAACAGGCCCAGGAGGAAACCAGGACTGGACCTGAGGGCCTGGACCCCAGAGGCTGGAGTGACTCCGCCCCTCCGTGGTCCCGAAGATCGGAGGACGCGTGCGTGGGGCTTCGGGCGGGGCTGCGAGGAGGGGGCCGGCCGGCCAGCGCCCCGCCCCCGCCCCCTCCCAGGCAGCCCAGTCCACCTTAAGGGGCGCGCTGACATCAGCGCGCCGCCGCCGCCGCTGCCCTTGGGGTGGGATTTCCTCCGCTACTGCCGCTGCCGTCGCCGCCGCGGGTCCTGCTCGCGTCCGGCAGCCCGCCTGACCCCGGCCCGACCCGGCCGGCCAGCCCGCCCGGCCCGGGGGAGGGATGCCGCGGCGCGGCGCCCAGGATGCCCCGCAGCCCCGGGACGCGCCTCAAACCCGCCAAGTACATCCCGGTGGCCACAGCCGCCGCGCTGCTGGTGGGCTCCAGCACCCTCTTCTTCGTGTTCACGTGAGTCGGCGCCGCGCCCGGGGTCCCAGTAGCAGCGGGGAACAGGCCTGGCGAGGCCCCGCGGGGCACGGGGCAGCAGCCAGTGGGCGGGACGGGACGGGACGGGACGGGGCGGGGCGGGGCGGGACGGGGCGGGGAAGGGGTGCGGTGGGGCGGGAGGGGCGAGCCCCAGCCCTGGGGAGAGTGCTAGCGTCCAGGGCACAGGTGAATCCTGGGAGGGGCGGGGAGCGGGGCGATAGTGCTGGCTGGGCACCTCTGAGTGTGCCAGGCAGGCCCTGGGTGTGGCCGCAGCCCTTCTCCAACGGGCTCATGGGGGGACCAGGTCACCGGGAACCCTTAACCCTTCCTGTGAACAGCCGCAGGCCCTCCTTTGGTCACCTCCCAGCTGCCCACTCCAGTCCAGAGCCAAGTTGTCCCTGCGTAGGTGTGGCATGGCCCCGTTGCCACATGCCAGCCCCACAGTAGCTGATGACCCTGGCCTGGTGAGGCCCTCTGCCTTCTCTGGAACCCGTGGTGGCCATCACAGTTGGAAGGAGCAGGCCAGGCCACACCTAGGGACAGACGTTTGCACAGCACTGCCATAGGTTGCCTGTGGGGGAGACCCTGACCTTCCAGGCCAGGCCTCCAGTTGTAGGAAGGGTGTGCCCTCACCAGTGGGGCACCAGATGGCTCCAGCCTCAACTTCTTTACCTCAGACACAGGTTGGCTCACAACCTGGAGTGGCTTGCTGACCTCCTCATGGTCCTGGTATCACCCTGCATATCCTTCAGGGTGAAGAGGGATTGGGGGTTCTAGGCTTCAGTTTGAGGATCTTTCCCTGGTCACCCCCTTCCACAAGTCTGAGATCTTGACATGGCTCAGGTGGCCAGAGTGATGGCCACCTATTTCCAGGTGGGGAAGCCTCTGAGTGACTGTGAGTGTGCTAGGGTGGGCAGGAGTGGTCTGGTGCTCTTCACCTTTGTTAGAGGGGGTAACAGCTGTGTGCATGCTGAGTCTGAATTGGGTGCCTGTGGAGGCGGGAGAAGCCCTACCTGGAGGCTGTGGCTGGGTGGGTGCTGGAGACTGCCAAGAGATGTTTAAAAAAGGCCTGTGTGGACGGGCTTATTTCTGGCTGTGCAGAGCCAGTGTGTTCTTGTCACTCAGATGCTGCTGGCTGTGGGACAGAGAGGGGCTGGTGGTAGGCGGTTTTGGGGAGCCAGGTCTGGGGACACAATCCACCATGGCTTCTGGAGGGGTGGGGTTCAGCCCAGTCCTGACCCCTCCAAGGGCTGGCGTGGGGTGTCTATCTTAGGTTCTCACTCCTCAAGTGCAATTCGTTGTTTTTTTCTTGTAACTTTAAAACTAAGATATGTTCTCTATGGAGAACTTGTGAAAAGCAGGAAGAAAAGTTTTAAAGAAAGCCAGCCCCCTGCCTTTTGATGACCCCTCCCCCGTCTCCTTGTGTCCTCAGAGGACTTCTCTGTACCCTGGCACACCCTGCTATCACCTTTGCTGCACACAGGCCATTCTGTAGCTATGCTTGTGGGTCACCTGCCCGTGATTTCAGAGGGTTCATTTATGTCATTGTATTGTGAATTTGACCCAGCCCCAGGTGTTGGGTGTTGAGGCTGCTACCACTATGCTAGGTACAGCCAAGCCAGCATTGGGTCCCACACTGTTTGTTTTTGTGTGCTTTTGTTTTTTGCTTTGTTTTTGGTTTTTGGTTTTTTGAGACAGGGTCTCCCTATGTAGTTCAGGCTGGCCTTGAACTGTGTACGCCAGGCTGGCCTCAAACTTGCAGTGATCCCGCTGCTTCAGTCTCCCAAATGCTGGGATTACAGGCATGGTGACACCCGGCTCCCACACCGTTCTTGAAGCTGGGATTTTAGAATCATGGACAGTGGTGCTCTTGAGCTGTGGCATTCCCTTTGGGGCCAGGGCCCCAACCTGTGTATGGTCCCTTCTGACTCCCAACTGGCTTTGCACCTAGAAGTTACCATGTGTGTCCCTGTGGCAGGATGAGCACTCCAATGCTTTCAGGTTCCAGCAACCATCTAGTGAGGCTCTGGAGCCTGGTCTGTTCTTTGGGGCCCCGGAGTATGGTGACTATGAGATCTAGGTTAAATGGCCATTGGGGACCCTGACCTGTCCCATTCTGGCTCAGCTGTGCTCCTCTAGGTGACTCAGGACCTAAGAACTGATAAACATCTCTGAGGAGCTGGCTGAGGGTAGTCCATGCTTATTTACTGCTGGGTAGATGATGTTCTAGGCAGGTCTGGTGCTGTGTTGGGTGGGTTTCTTTGTTGGGACAGGTCTCTTGTCTCCTTTATGACTCCCTTCCACTGTGTGTCTGGGCCTAGGCCCACGGTGCCTCCTACAGGAACCTAAGATGGAGCAGCTCCCCACTCTGCCCTCGGGGCCTATACTGGGCTCCATTCTGTGTTTGCTGCTCAGACTTTACTGGATCTGAGTGGCTACCACATCCCTCTCTGCACTTAGTAAATGTGAGTTGCCCCCTTCAGGGCAGTGGTTTCTGGTGTCACATAGGGTAGGGAGACTGAGGCTTGGAGAACCAGGGCCACCTCCCTCAGCCTGCTTACCAGTGGGGTGAGGGATGGGGGAAACAGGACACTTAAGTGTCTCTGCAGGAGAAGCTCCAGTGGAGGGAGGAGGCCTGATGTGGGGGTGTACCCTTTCTGAGGATAGGGTACATGCTGTGAGGCAGGTTCTTGGAGCCTTCTTCCGAGAAGCTTTTTGGTAGTCCTGGTAGGGTTTGTGTACCCCTGAGCCCCAGAAATCCTTCTTGCTGTGTATACCAGGCTGGGTCAGGTGCTAGAAGGGATGTGAAGGCCTCCAGGCTAGGCCTCAGTCCTACCTTTCCCTGGAACCACTTTACAGAATGATGGGGACCCTGTACACACCAGAGGGCTAGCGCCACTTGGCCAGGCCACCAACTCCAGAGCTAGGTTGGGCTGTCTTATCTCTGTCTGAGGTACATGGGATGGTCCCCAGATGGGCTTGAGCTCTCTTTATGCTTGAAGGCTCAGCCTAGGACAACAAACTGCAGTCCCAGCCCTGGGTCCCAGCCAGTCATAGTGCAGGAGTAGGGTAACAGAGGGCTAAGCAGTGCTGACTGGGGCTTCATGGACAGGGACCTGGGAATTCACAGGGACCTGCCAGGACACACTGTGTATGACCTGGAGATTCACAGCATCCCCGGCCTCTTGAGCCTGTTTTCCCATCTGTCAGGTGTCTGTAGGAATCAAACAGGTGGGTGCAAGTGCTTCATAGCCTAGAGTCCCTACCTGGGATGACCAGGGTAGAGTGGTTGCTGGCCTGTGAGGCCTGGGCAACCCCAAGGACCAGTGCCACTCTCAAACAGTTTTAATGAAGAGCCTGCTTTAAATGAAAACACCTGAGTTAAACTTTTCCATTCCATATTTAGCTGTGGCAGACATTCTGCCCCTAAAGCTACCCCCTGCCTGGATGGTTTGTCCCTGCTGGTCCTGGTAGGACCTCCACCTGAGTGTGGCTCGCAGTAGGGTCTTGTGTCCTGCCAGGGTCCCTGCCACTCAGGATGTGGAGCTGGACCAGGAGGAACACTTGGAGCCCCAGACCTAGGCCTCTCCAGGACCCTTCCTTGCCCATAGCACAAGTTGAGGCAGCCAGGAAGGTGTCATAGGGAAGTGATTGGCCCCTGCCTGGCTCACTGAAGGCCAGATACCCTACCCTGGCCTGGGGCCTGCAGCCCTCTGGTCTTTCTGATATTCCTGCAAGCTCCAGGCTCAAGCTGGGGCCTCCTGAAGCCAGCCAGGGAAGGGCCAGCCAGGTGTAGACCTCAGGCCTGGGCAGGTGTGGGGTCTCACCCCAGCAGGCAGAGGAGCTTCCTTGAATGAGCTAAGACTGCTATAAATATGGATTGAGCACTCTTGCCTACTGGGTCTTACCCAGAGCTCATGTGTCCTTGAGTGTCCTCATGTGTCCTCGTGCATCTTTGCATGTTCTCGTATGTCCTCTTTGGTCTTCATGTGTCCTCACGCATCCTTATATGTCTTCAAGGGGCCTCGTGTGTTCTCACATTTACTCTGTCCACAGGGAGCAATGTGAACCCAAAGGCGAGGGGCAGAGGGGCAGTGGAGATAGAATTGGACAGGACTGGGAACAGGGAGAAGAGGAGCATGTCTGTGCATGTGTGTGTTGTATGTCTGTGTGTATATCTCTGTGTGCGAATTAATGTGCAGTTATGTTCATGTGTGTATATGTCCATTCATGCATGTACACACAAATGTGTGCGTCTATGGATGCCTCTGTTCCTAAGTGTGCCTGTATCTTGATTGTGTATTCATGCCTGTGCGTGTGTGTACACACGTACCTATGCATGTGTTTCTTGCAGCATGTTTGTGTGTGCACATGTGTGTGTGCACATGTGTTTACATGTGCATGTCTGTGCATGTGCCTGTGTGTGTTGTCTCTTCCTCTGCCTAGTGCACATTTCCTGAGTTCTGAGTCCTTTCTGGGCCCTGCTAGGTTGGGTGATGGGCCTGCCCACTTAGGTGGGGTCTAGGCCCAAGGGCCCCTTCAATAGCACATGGAGGATGACAAATACCTGGTCTTGAGCCCAGTTCCATCCTGGGGGCTGGAGATGATGGGAGGATAGTGATGGGAGGCCCAGATCCCAGTCACAGAACCTGTACCTCAGACTTTCTTAGGATCCAGCCAAGCCCCCTCTGGACCCTCCCAGACATTCAGGCAGGTGATACCCACACTGAACAGAGGCTGCCCAGCAAGTCAGCACAAGTGCTGCCCCATCACGGTGCAAATTTCCAAATGTAGCTCTGTCACTGCAAGGTGGCTGCCTCCACCCACCCCTGGGTGTCTCACTCAGGGCTGCTGTCCAGCCCTCCTGGCCCTCGGGAAAATCAAGGATTAAGGAGGTGACAGTAGTATAGTACTACCTGGTTGGTGGGGAGTTTTGGTCAGTGTGGGGTTCAGGTGAGCAGACCCTGAGACTAACCAAATGAGGGATGAGAGGCAGGTTCAAAGCCCAGCTCAGACACTGATCCTCCTCTCCCTGCCTAAAAAGCAAGAGGACAGCGGCTATCCCCCTCCTCAGAGTAGGATGCATCATTCAGGTTGGGCCTTGGATGCAAGAATGGAGCCTGTGCCTGATCTCCCTACATCTCCTCCTGCCCTGGCATGACACCACACACCACTACCATCTATGTCTATATGTCCATCTACCCTATCTGCAACCTACCTTGGGATGCACTCCCTTTTCCCAGCAGGCTTGCTCCACAGATACCATGAGGGTCTACTCTGTTCTCATCATCTTGAAATTCTGAATTTTTAACAAGGGGTCCACATTTTCACTTTGTCCAGGTCATGGAGCCAGCCCTTCACAGGAGACACCATAGCGAGGTTTCTCATATCACCTAGTGGACTCCAAGGTGCCCCATCTTTGCCTGGCGGGCTGGAGTGGTTCACTCAGGGCATGTCTGCCCCTGCCATCCCCACTGGCATTTGGGTCTGTGTCTCCCACCCCACCCTGCCAACCTGACCGTGCTTGAGAGGCCCACTTTTGCCTAGCTGAATGGCGTTGGATTAGAGGTCACAGGCGTTTTAAATACCATCTGTATGTCAGGCAGGGGTGGGAATGTGGAAGGAAGGTGTGTGGTGGGTGAATGCTCCAAGCCACTAGGGCAGGGGTGATGGAGAAAGGTCCTCTGGGCAGAGGGAGCCTCATGGTTGAGGTCCAAGTCCTCACTCTGCACTACACTGGGCTGTGGTGAAGAGGAAGGGGTAACTCGTGGCTCTCGGTCCCACAGAGGGTACTGCCAGTGGGAAGCGGAATCTTTAAATAGCCTCTTGCTTTCCACTAAAAATAGTTCTGCTGCTATGGAGGTGGTTGCTGGGGCGGCGGGGCTGGCTCCTGGCCAAGGCAGCGGGGGTGCACGGTGTGGCCAGCATATACGGGGGTGGCACAGGGCCATGGACTCCTCTGGGTCTGCTGGTAGTCACCATCTTTCCACCCACCAGGTCAGGCCTGCCATGGGGAACCCCCACTGGCCCTCAATCACACAGAGGGCCTGAGTGCTGGGAGAGGAGTAAACCTCCTGCATGCCCCGGCACAAGTCACAGCAGCTTGGTGCAGGGGGTGCAGCAGGAGAGACAGGGAACTGAGTGGGTTGGCTCAGGAACCCCGTTGCAGGGTCAGGGCTGGGCAGTATGAGGCTGATGGGTCTCTGTAGAGGGGACTCTGGTCAGGTCCTGTGAGGGCTGAAGATGTGCTTCATGGACATGTGCAAGACAAGACCCTTCCAAGGAGGTTGGTGGGGGGAGTAACCAGGAATCCTGGAAGGCTTCCCAGCAGAGCGGGTGGCCAGCCTTGGAGCCAAGTGCTGGGAGGGGTGCTGAAGGCCTTGTGCTTTTCCAGTGTCTTCAAGTGTTCTGTGCTGCCATCTGTAGAGCAAAGTGACAAACTAAAAAGAAGGGGCTGCCTGGGCAGGGCTGTGCCCTTCCGGGAAGAGCAGGGGGATATTCCCTGTGCTTTTATGTCCAGGTTTGGGGCTCCATACCCTAAACTCTAGAGTCTTCCTGGTAAGGGAACTCTACCAGGCTGAAGATGGGTCTGGGTGAGGTCTGGGGCTGGTCTCAATCTGTCACAGCACATGGACATGGTAGGCTTATTTCCTGTCCTTGGCTCTTTCTGTCTGTGTTGCCTATTCCCCACCAACCCAGGGCAGAGAAGTCTGGAAAAGGTGTGGCTGAGTTAGAAATATATACATGGTTTAGCGATGGGCCACCCCTCCTAAATAGTGACCCCAGACCGAGGGGCCTCTCTTGAGCCTGTTTCCTCATCTTGAATCATGTTCTCGACAGCCACCCTAGAGGTTGCTGGGGTCAGAGCTGGCATGCAGGGAGCCATGGAGCAAGGCATTGATGGTCCTAGCAGGCCCGTAGCAACCTCTTGAGCCCTACTGTTGGCTTGGTGGACCCAACCTGCACACACATAGCTACATTTCATGGCTGTACCCTGTATCCCCATCACACCCTCCAGACTCAGCTCTCTGTCTGGCTATCCATTGCAGGTGCCCATGGTTGACAAGAGCTGTGTCCCCAGCTGTTCCTGTCTACAATGGCATCATCTTTCTCTTTGTCCTCGCCAATTTCAGCATGGCCACCTTTATGGACCCCGGTGTCTTCCCCAGAGGTAGGGCCCTATGCTGGGGCAGTTCATTTGCTCATTTTCACTAGTGCATGAGTGGCTAACTTTGAAGAGACTTGGGGATTCCCAGTGAATGGGTTGAGCAGAGATTGGGGAGGGGATTCTCCTGCTAGGGAGGTCACCTTCCTGTCCCTTCACCACTTTGCCTGGGTCCTGATCTGTAGCGGACGAGGACGAAGACAAGGAGGACGACTTCCGGGCCCCGCTATACAAGAACGTAGATGTACGGGGCATCCAGGTCCGCATGAAGTGGTGTGCCACATGCCACTTCTACCGTCCACCACGCTGCTCGCACTGCAGCGTCTGCGACAACTGTGTAGAGGTGACCACCCCACTGCCCTGTACCCCTGCCAACCAGGCCCCACACCCGGTCCCATCCGTCATGTGTCCTGACATGCTGCCTCTGCTCAGGACTTTGACCACCACTGCCCCTGGGTCAACAACTGCATTGGACGCCGCAACTACCGCTATTTCTTCCTGTTCTTGCTGTCACTCAGTGCGCACATGGTGGGCGTTGTGGCCTTCGGCCTGGTCTATGTGCTGAACCACGCTGAGGGGCTGGGAGCTGCCCACACCACCATCACGTATCCTTCATCCCAAAGGCACATGTGTCACAGGGGGAATTGAGGTTCCAAGGGGTTGGTCAGTTGCCTGGGGGTCCCAGTGGGTGAGTCACCATCTGTAGATGGGCAGAAGGGGGTGTATTTGTCCATAGGCACCTGCTATGTTGCCAACATGATGGGGTCTGCTTGTCCTCACCTGCAGCCATTGGTCTTAACAAGCCAGCATGGCCGTCATGTGTGTGGCTGGCCTCTTCTTCATTCCTGTCATCGGCCTCACTGGCTTCCATGTGGTGCTGGTCACTCGGGGGCGCACCACCAACGAGCAGGTGCAGACCCATGGGGCAGGGACTCTAGAGCCCTTGGGTGAGGTGGCATGTGCCACTGTGGAGGACGGGGCTTGGGGTACCCCTTCACATTCCTCGCTGTGGAAGCTGTTGCCACCAGCCACTCAGCCTGGAAACTCTGCAGCTCCCTGTGGGGATAGGTGGCGATGACCTGGATCAGGGGCTTCTCTGGGCTGACAGCCCAGTCTGCCTCCCACAAGGACCATTTTAGAGGAACCCCAGCTGGCCTTGTCTGTCCCTCTGCCTTCCCTGGCCTGGGCTCTGGGTGGCCAGGCTGGCTGAAGGTCCTGTGTTCACAGGTGACTGGAAAGTTCCGCGGGGGCGTGAACCCCTTTACCCGAGGCTGCTATGGGAATGTGGAACATGTGCTATGCAGCCCCCTGGCACCCCGGTGAGGCCCGGCCTGGGCAAGGGGTTAAAGAGGCTTGTGCTGGGTGTGGGGTGGGCAGCCTCAGCCCCTCAGCCCAGGCCCTTTCTGCTCTTATCTAATGGGCCTTGGTCTTGCCCTTGGTGTGTGTTCTCAGCTGGGTTGCCCGGCTGCTGACTCCTGTGCCCCTGGTGCAGGTATGTGGTGGAACCACCCCAGCTACCGCTCTCCATGAGCCTGAAGCCTCCCTTCCTTCGGCCTGAGCTCCTGGAGCGCACTGTACCACTCAAGGTCAAGCTTAGTGACAATGGGCTGAAGGCAGGCCTTGGCCGAAGCAAGGTGGGGGCCTGGTCTGGGATGGAGAGGGGATAGGAGTCAGACCTTTGGAGGAGGGAAGCAGGCAGGTTGGAGGGGCCCAGAAGAGGGCTAATTCTGGGTTAGGGTCTCAGGACCCCAGAAAGGGATCCTCAGTTAAGCCCTGCCCCTCACCCAAGCACCCCCTCCCCACTGACCCTGACCCTCTCAGTCCAAAGGCAGCCTGGACAGGCTAGATGAGAAGCCACTGGATCTGGGGCCCCCACTGCCTCCAAAGATGGAGGCCAGCAGCTTTGGAGGTGACTTGAAGACCCCACGGCCTGCCAGCGCTGGTGAGATGGAGGCAGCCAAGCTGGGGAGGGCCATGGTCTCACCTTCATCTGACCCAGTCTGACAGTGGTCTTTCTCCCTAGAGAGCGCCCTGTCGGTACAGAGGACCAGCCCCCCAACACCTGCCATGTACAAATTCCGGCCAGCCTTCCCCACAGGTCCAAAAGCACCCTTCTGTGGGCCTAGCGAGCAGGTAAGGAGGCCAGACCTGTCCCAAGAGCCCTGCCCACCCAACCTTCCCCTTCCCTAGGAAGGCTGCCCTTTGGCCAAATGAATGCCCACAGGACCGTGACCTGAGGCTTGTTGGAGGGGAGCATGGTAAGGTGTCCTGGGAGGGGCTGACACTTGTGGACCCAGCTGGGCATCTCTGTCCCTTGGCTGGCATTGCCCATAGGGGAGGTAGGTGGCTGCCCCCAGGAGCAGTGTGTCAGCATGGCTGGAATTCCCCCATTTGTCACTCTGTGAGGCCCACGGGAAGCCTTCTGAAGAATTTGAGATTTGTTGGAGAAAGCACATTTGTTTTTCCCAAGTTAAATGCTTTACTGTCCATCACTGTGGAGCAGCTGACAGCACTGAACAGCCAGCAGAATGGGAATGCCTTCCCTCCTTGAGGGCCATCAAGGGCAGGCCCAGATCAGCTCCACCGATGGGGACTTGCTCCTTAGGGTCCATGTCTTACCCACTACAGTCGGGGTCACTGGGTGGGAATCTAGGCCTCCGTGGCAGAGAATCCAGTCCTGGTAAAAACAGTGGCCCTGCCTCACAGGCAGAGGGTCATCTCTGGTTGGGCATGGGGGCCTCTAGGTGCCCTCCCTGTGTCACCTCCTTCCCAAGACTGACCTGGATCCCACAGTGTATTCAGTCTGGCTAGCTAACTGCATCCTGGCCACATTTGCCCTCATCTCCTTTGGGATTTGAGGTTCCTGTGGCTCTTCTCACCAAAGCTATCTGCCAGTCACAGAGACTGAAAGAGGCCCATCCTCCCTGTGTCTGAGGCCGCCCTGAACAGGTGGCTCCTGTCTGGGTGGACTCTATGCAGTATCTGTAGCAGCCAGCTCTGCCTTGAGCTATGGAACCCTCACGCCTTTTGCCCCAGGGTCAGTATGGATCTGGGTGTGGTCTGTGTAGTCCGTGCTGCTCTTTGTGACAGTGGCAGGCCTTATACAGCCTTGCCTTGGGAGGTAGCCTCTGGGATCACTGCTGGCTCCACTCCACTCTTTCACAATGGGCATGAGAACAGGAGCCATGGTAAAGCATGAGGAATATCTCAGACCATATATTAGGCACACCTGGCATAGTGCTGTGTCACCAGAGTCACACCTCTGTGTGGTCACGGCATCTGGTGGCTACAGGTTGGGGGTAGGTGTGCAGTAGCCAGTTTTCTCTCCCCCTGCAGGTCCCCGTGTCAGGTCCTGACTCCTTGACCCTGGCAGATGACAGCACCCACAGTCTGGACTTTGTGTCTGAGCCCAGCTTGGACCTCCCTGACCATGGCCCAGGTGGCCTGCACTCAGCCTACCCGCCATCCCCGCCGCTCAGTGCCACCGATGCCTTCTCGGGTGCTTTGCGCTCCCTGAGCCTCAAGGCTGCCAACCGGCGGGGTGGGAACCATGTGGCCTTGCAGCCCCTACGCTCTGAGGGAGGGCCCCCCACACCCCACCGCGCCCTCTTTGCCCCCCATGCTCTACCCAACCGAAATGGCAGCTTGTCCTATGACAGTCTGCTTAACCCTGGCTCACCCAGCAGCCATGCGTGTCCAGCGCACCCCTCAGTTGGTGTAGCCAGCTACCGCTCACACTATTTGCACCCTGGGGCAGGGGGTGACCCACCACGGCCCCCGCCCCGCAGCTTCAGTCCTGTATTGGGCCCCCGGCCTCGGGAGCCCTCTCCTGTGCGCTATGACAACCTGTCTCGGACCATCATGGCCTCCATCCAGGAGCGCAAGGACAGGGAGGAGCGAGAGCGGCTGCTGCGCTCCCAGGCTGACTCGCTGTTTGGTGACTCGGGTGTCTATGATGCACCCAGCTCCTACAGCCTGCAGCAGACCAGCATGCTTTCCGAGGGCAGTCGCGGCCCCATGCTGCGCTATGGCTCCAGAGATGACCTCGTGGCTGGGTCTGGCTTTGGTGGTGCCCGCAACCCTGCCCTACAGACATCCCTGTCCTCACTGAGCAGCTCCATGAGCCGGGCACTTCGGACATCCTCCTCCTCCCTGCAGGCAGACCAAGCCAGCAGCAATGCCCCAGGGCCCCGGCCAGGCAGTGGCTCACACAGGTCGCCTGCTCGCCAAGGGCTGCCCTCTCCACCTGGCACTCCCCACTCACCCTCCTATGCAGGCCCCAAAGCTGTCGCCTTCATCCACACGGACCTCCCAGAACGGCCACCCTCACTGGCTGTGCAGAGGTGGGTGCTAGCAGTGTGAATGGGCTCCCCGTACAGGGCATCGTCCAGATGCCTTGGGGCCCCTCTTGGCCTGGTACCCACTATGGTGGCTGCAGGGACCAGGCAGGGAGGGTGGGCTTCATCCTGCCTTGAAGACCCCTTAGTGCCTTATATGGAGGTGGCTTGGCTCTGAGGATTGCCCTGGTCACACTCCATGTGTGTGTAAGGAGGGCAGGAGGATTTGGGCCTTGAGTGCAACATCTTATATTGTCTCAGAGCTGGCACAGACCCAGCACATGGAAAGGCCCAGGGATAACTTTCTCTGGAACTTGTGCCACACCGAAGCCTGGGTCTCCTTTGGGTCCTGGGCTCTGGCGTTCCTGGGTCTGCCTTGATGCATCTCCAGTGGAACAAGCTACTCTGGGCACTTAGTCACAGGAATCAGGGACTTCCTGCTTATTTATGAGGAAACTAAGGCCTGGAGAGGGCAGCTTGGTTCCAGGCTCCCAGTGGTTAACAGGCTGTCTCACAGGGCCAAGCCCAAGTAGGGTTGAGCTCTGTGTGGGACAAGTCCTCACACTGGGCAGATCATGGCACCATCCTGGCACTGTCCCATTCACACCCCTGCTGCTCTGAGCAAAGGCTCAATTGTTTCCTGTTGGCAGACAAGGCCCTGGGGAGAGCTCTGACCAGACTACTGGGCTACGGGGAGGCTGGGGAATGTAGCCTGGCCCTGAGCAAGGCTCCCTGCTTCATGCTATGGGAGCCTGGCTGGTTTCTTGGGGTTCAGGAGGAGGCTATGGTGAGGCAGGCACAATAGTTGGGGGATAAAGGGGCTTCTGCCCATAGGAATGTTTAAGCAGCAAGAAGCTGCTCATTCTCCTAAGGGGGGGTGGGGGGCAGACAGCGTCACCATTAGGCTTCCCAGCACTAGGGCACCAGGACAGGGCGGTGCAGGGCCTAAGGCTCAGTTTAATGTCCACTTGGCCAGCCTGTTCTCTGGCCAGTGCCAGCTGGGCGAGGTCAAGGGCCCCAAGATGATGGCCCCAATTCTGGTGATATCTGCCCATCCTGTGACAGTACAGGGTACAGGACACAGGGCTCCAGTCCATGTCTGCATGTGTCCTGTCACCCCACCATCCCGTGTTCACCATGTACGTGCGTGTATGTGCTTGTTTTAATGCAGGGACCACCCTCAGCTGAAGACCCCCCCAAGTAAGCTTAATGGGCAGTCCCCAGGCCTGGCCTGGTTGGGGCCTGCTGCTGGCCCCCCAGGGCCCTCCGCCAGCCCTGCCCGGCACACGCTGGTTAAGAAGGTGTCCGGCGTGGGTGGGACAACGTACGAGATCTCGGTGTGAGAACTGACTACCACCTGTCTGCCGTGGCGCCACAGGGACCAGGACCCCATGGTGGTTCCCCCTACCCCCACCGACTTCTTTGCCCCAGGGAGAGGCCACCACCCAAGCCTGGTGTGGACGCATCAGCAGGAGAGAGCCTCGCCTCCACAGCTTGTCCCAGCACCCGCTGCCAGTCCGTCCATTCATCTTCTCACCAGGAAGTTGGGTCCCAGGGCAAAGCTGGGCCTAGGATTGCCAGGCTGTGCTGTGGGGCTGTGTGTCTGCCCCTACTGTGGCAATGAGGGGGACCCAATTTGCTTTCCCCATTGGTGAAGCTCAACTCCACCACTTTGTCACCCTTGTGCCCCTAGGCCAGTCTCCAGCGATTCTACTGGTCTACCTGCTCCCCTTATAGATGGGTCACGGTGGCCCTCTCCTCCCAGCTGCTCCTAACACGTTGCCTTTCCCCAACTGGCTGGCAGCTTGCAGCTTGTCAAGGCTGATGCTTCTGCAGCCCTGGCCTGCTCTGGGTTGTGATGGATGGGTGGACAGACAGGCAGCCTCCTGTGGTGGGCTCCCAGCTCCGTGTGTTCCATCTTGCCTGGCCTGTGGGCTTGTCCCCCCATGTCTGTGTGCTGTGCTGCCGTGCCACGTCCAATGTGTTTGCTCGGCTGCCACTGTCCCTTTCATTGAAGCCTTAACTTCTGCTTTATGCTCTTGTGGGGGTCAATGGGGGCCAGAGGGTGTGGGAGCAGGCATGTGGGCCAGATACCACCCCGGGGAGCCCCACCTGGAGCCCCACCCCCATCTCTCAGGCCCTCCCTGCCAAACTGGAGACTCCCTACCCCAAAGCATATGAAGTCCCTGGCCTTGGCCTGGCCAGTGTCACGTGGAAAGCACATTGGAGATGGGGGGTCAGTGCTTCCCTGGCATCAGGGACCTGAGAGTAAGCACATGGCAGCGTCTGCTTGCGTTGTGTCTGTTTTATGTTTTTATATCTACATCTATATATCTATAATTTTATTAAAAAAAGAAAAAGTCATTCTGATCCTTTCCTTGGGCAAAGTCAGGGCTGTGGGTACAGGGACCCCAGGGGGTCATGGGTATTAGAGGGGTGGCTGGCTGGCACAAGGCAGAATGCTCAGGGTATTTCTTCTGAGACCAAGTCTAGGGGCTGGTATGTGGTCCTTGGCTGGTAAGTGTGAATTTCTGTACCCTGCTCTAAGTCACTCTTGGCACTAACTAGGATGTGGAGAATGACGAGGTGGGCCCACTTCAAGGGCTTGCAGAAGATGGAGGAGGGGTACGCGTGGCCCCCTGCTGGCTTGGAACCCTCTAGGAGTTGCTGTACTTTCTGGAAGTCTCTTGTCTGACATGCCAGGGGTGGTGTCTGGGAGTGTCAGGAATCCATAGCTCTTTGGGGCTGAGCCTGGGCAGGGCTGGGGGGCATGGGAGCTCAGGGACTCAGAGGGAGATGCCTTGAGCCTTGGATCCTGCAGCTCTGCCCCATGCTGACCTCCACCTTTCTGCTTCTCTCTTATGGACGACGTGGCCCGCAGGGGGCGAATAGGCACCTGTAGCCGTGGATGGGGGCGGCGTGGCCAGACCAGGGGGACCCCCAGCCTGCACCTGTGCCACCTTGGCCTCCCTGAGGACCGCCCACCGCTGCGGGCCCCCTGGAGCCCAGCCTCTGGGGCACCCCCCCGAGGGACCATGTGCCGTCTGCACTCGGCCGCATCCAGCCTTTTCCCCAGCCTCTCGGGGCCCTAGCCAATTGCTAAGTGGACAGCTCTGAGGCCCTGGATAGCCCAAGTGGGGACCCAGGGAGCCAGGCTGCCACAGACCGGTGTTGGGCAGGGGGTCCCCTCTCTACCAGCCATGTTCTGACCGACTCCAGCCTGCCAGTGCCCGTGACCCTGTGTCCAGGTGACCTCAGGAAAGTCCCCCACCTGCTGCCAGGGGTAGAAACCCCACTGGGACCAGCACAACCTTCACCCCAGCTTCCCTGCCCCACCAAGCACTTTAGATTAAACCACTTCCTCCTGGGGACCCTGGCCTCTGTGGGTTGGGCTGGGGTGGGGGTCTCAGGTTGCTCCTGCAGGTCACTGCACTCTCCCTACCTTACTCCCAGCACAGGAACAGATGCCTTAACCTCCTGGAGCCACCAGCCTTGTGGGCAGTGGGCCTCAGCCCATCTCGCTGGGTCCGTTACTTGCCCCACCCTTGGGGTTCCCATCCACAGCTCTTCTCTGGCCCCACCTGGGCTGTCTGCATCCAGGGATCATGCTCCTGGGAGCTTGAGGGCTCTGAGGCCCACAGCCCTGCAGTATCCCACCCTGCAGGGCCTGAAGGGCCCCTGGGGCAGAGGAGGATGGAGCTCTGCCAGCCCTCTTCCTGCTTAGGGTCCTGTCCCAGGGTCCACCCTGGGCAGTAAGTCTCTCTCTCCCACTTTGGGACAAGAGAGCCACAAATCTATTCTCTATTGTTCTGAGGTATCCCCTCCGCCAATTGAATTCCCCAAAATAAAAATTTTTGGTGTTTACCTCCATGGCTCTGTCCAACAATGTGGTCCCCTTGTCTGAGCCTTGGGCAGTACTAGCCTAGACTGGACAGGGACCCTGGGTTAAAGAAGGGACAGTAGCCCTGAGGATGGTGACAGGGTGAGGGTATTCAGTGGGTCAGCAGGTGGGTTGAGAACCAAGAACCCCTGGTCCTTGCTGGCCTGTGGCCTCTTAGGGGAGACCTTCCTGTGACACCCTCAGCTCAGTTCCCCTCGTGGAAAGCTACCCAGAGTGGGCAGGTGAGTGTGGGGCAGGGGAGCAGCACTGATGCCAGGGGCCAGGAGGGGGCCCCGAACTGAGAGACCTCTCTGCCAGACAAGGCACCTTGGGAAACTTCAGAACATCTGCCTCCACTTCAGTTTCCTTGGAAACAAGCTCACACACTGAACATGTCATGACTGTATGTCCAGCTGCAGGCCCAGCCTCAGGACAGACCCCGCCTCCTCCCTTCCCACAACTCCTGGCAGGGACCATGCTTGGCGGTGCCGTGGGCATGAGCAGATGGGGCCACTGGACACCTGGGGCAGTGCCGGCAGCCTGGCCGCCTCCTCGTTGGGGCCACTGGGCCTCTGGCCTAGAAGGGCAGGAAGTCATCCACCTCGAGACGAAGGAAGGGGCCCAGCAGGGCCCGGAGCTTCCAGACTGTGGTTCGGCTCAACAGGGGCGGCACCAGCCCCTCAAAGGGTGCGGGGTCCACCACGTAAACATAGGCAGCAGTGCAGGCCAGCAGGGTGCCCAGCAGCAGCCTCAGGGCTAGCAGCCTGTGGATGGTGGTGGTCAGTGGGGGGGACACTGTGGGGACTGTTCCAGAGAATGGGCTGTGCCTACAAAATGACCTACCAGAGCTGGCCCTTGAAGCTCTTGGAACATCCCAGCTGTGGCCTCCCTTTCTGTCGTGGGGACTGTGTCAGTGCCTGTGTCGAGGGCTGTGGCAGAGGGCAGGGGTCCTCAGCTATGGGGTCCACCCAGCTGTGCCCCTGCCCCATCCTTCCCCAAGAACTATTTTCCAGGGTAACTCTGGTCAGAAGTGGGGGGCTCCTGCCCTGGGGGGGGGCTGCCCACAGCAGGGTGCCAGGGTGGGGCCAGGTATCCAGAATGGCAGAGCATGTGGGGTAGGGGACTCACTGCCACACACGCCGTCTGCTGCTCCTTCCTGGCCTGGCTGCGGCACTGGGCCCGGTTCCTGGGATGGAGGGTGGGGCACCATCAGGATCCCCCCACCCCAGCCTGGTACCACCCCATACTGTGGAACTACGGGGACAGAGATTGAGCCCCCCGTCCTGAAGTGGCTCAGCCAGGTCTTGGGCCCCCATGTCACCCCAGAATCTCCAGCTGAATGTCTTCCATTTGGTCTAGCACACCCCGAATGTCCTTCTTGAGGTTCTGGAGGGCAGAGAAGGTAAGTTGGGCCCTCCACCCCAACCACCTTGCCACCTTCCCTGTTTCTCACCTCCAGCCTTCCCCACCTTCCCCAGCTCATCCTCCTGGGTGTCACTTTTGGGGGACCTACCAGGAGTCCAGTAGCCTGGTTGTTCAGGGCCATGTGTACCTCTGCCACACCGTCCCACACCTAGGGGCGGAGAAGACAGTGTCATGTCCAAGGAGTGGACTCACAAGGGGGTCCCTTGTACCCCCTCCCACCCTGGGCTGGATGGGCACCTCCGTGATGGTCATCTTCTTCCTCTCAAAGGACAATCGGATCTGTTGCAGCTCATTCTGGATGGGGAGGGGCGCAGCGTGGACTCAGGCAGCCTTCCCTGGGCCCAGCCCCCACCCTGCCAGGACCACCTGGGATTGCCACACCAAGGCCTCCTCTCCCTGGCACAGATCACGCTGCAGCAGCTGCACAGGGGCCCTGTCCTCTGGGGGGCGGGTGCTGGCTGACTCGGGGGACTGCCAGACAGGCCCAGGTCAGTAGAGTGGAGGCCTGAGGCCTGTGGCCCTGGGGGCAGGGGCGAGGCTGCATGGGGTCACAGGGCTGCAGCCAGCACTTACCCAGGCCAGGCCTGAGCAGCTAGAGTGCTCGGGACACAGGCGCAGGAAACGCTGCCCTGGCCCCAGCATTGCCCCCAGCTGCTCCTGGAGGTCCTGATTCTGCCTTTTCTGGGGTTGGAGACAGAGATGAGGTCACCTGCCATGGCCACTTCTCAGGCAGGAAACAGGCGGTGAGCTGGGGCTAAGGCTCTGAGGGGAGACAGAGGCCTGGGCAGTGGGGAGCAGCCTGGAGCCTTCAGCTAGTGGAGCTGCACTCACCACGCTGTGATTCTCCTGTTCCAGCTGGAGAAAAGATGGTTCTGCAGACCCCAGCCACCCTCTCTGGAGCTGGGGGGGGGGGGCGAGTGCTGCCCTGGGCGAAACTGAGGGACCTCCTCCTGGCAGCAGGGTGGGGCAGGGGCAGGGTCTAGGCCCTGAGCTGGGAGATGCCCCCTGCCTGAGTGAACCTTGCTCTGACCCTGGGTGGAAGGGCCAGCCCCACCTCATCCCCACCTCCGGTTCTCCTGGTCTTGCCACCCCTGGTTCTCTTGCTCTCTGCTGCTGCAACTCCTCTTCTTTTCTGGATAGAAAGGAGGCCTTGCCTCCCATCCTGGGCACCCCACCCTTTGCGCCTGGAGCTGGGAAAGTCGACTCCAGTGAGTGAGTGGATGGAAGGGGGACTAGGCAGGGCCACCTTACAAATCCTTGGCAAGGCTGATCGAGGCATCCTCCATGGCTGCTTGAAGCTGGGGCTGGAGGACTCTGGGGGTGAGTGTGGCCACAGGGCCCCAGGGCTTTTGGCCCCTCCATCCCTCCCTGTAACTCCTTTGACCCCAGGTCCAGGCTCTGGCCTGGCTGACCTGCCACCCTCTTACTGAGGGCACTTTGGTGTCATGCTGGCTTACAGGTCTACCCCAGGTGACAGTCACAAAGGCTCATGTGAAGCCTGGGAGGTCACAATGGGCCAGGGCTGGAATAAGAACCAAGCTGGGGCCCCTCCCAAGGGGCTCTGTCCTTACTGCCCCCGTGTCTCTGAGACCTTGTCGTCTTCCCCTCAGTTTCCTCCCTCGGTCTGAGGAATAACACCACCAGCAAGTATTTTCAGTAGTGAGAGGCTCAAAAAACCAAGTGCTGGCAGAAATAGCCATAAATCTCATCTGCCCCAGCTGAGCTCCAGCTCCCTGAAGGCAGTGGACAAGCTCAGTGAGACCCCAGAGAATCTGCCCCCAGGGCCAGCCGAGCCACCACTCGCCCACCTCCGAGCCCTGGGCTAAATCATGGTTTTCACCACTACGTGTTGGAGTGGTTTGTCACATGAGAATAACTTTTAAATTTTTATTACAATAAAGGACATTGGTATTAATCTCCCTCATTTCAAACACACCCCACCGTTCTTGGCACTTTCTCAATAATTTCTGGAACTTCTGTTTTGGGGAGTGTCTTCAGGTGCATGTCCTGAACTGATTCAAAACATTTACCTTTCACGGTCATTTTGACTTTGGGGAAGAGCCAGAAGTCACATGGTGCCAGATTTGGTGAATAAGATAGATGAAGACTCACTGTAATGTTTTTATGTGGCTGTTTTTCTGATGGATGGCCTGTGGCAGCCTCATTCACCATATTCTTGATCACACCTGGTAAAGATACTCAAAGAGGATTTCCAGAACGGCTTCAGAAAGTGGCAAGAACTACGGGGTAAGTGTATTTGAAGTGAGGGGGTGTATCTTGAGGAGGATGAATGCCAATGTGCCTTTTGTTATAATAAATTTTAAAAATTTTAAATATTCCCGATATTTTGATCACACTTTGTGTGTGTGTGTATGTGTGTGTGTGATAGCCTATTGCTCCTAGGGCCATGATGAAAAAATAAGACAAAATTAAATCAAGCACAAGAAAAAATGATGCGATCAAGAGGCTCAATAAACACAAGATGTTTAAGGGCTGCTGGTATAATACGGCACACTATTTTACAGTAAACTTTTTTTACAAGTAGAAGGAGCATGCACATAGTATAGGAAATGCATAGCCCAATGACATGTCACTTATTATCCCTGTCCATCGTTCTGCGAGGTACCTGATACAGTCTGTGGGATTGGCAGGGCAGTAGGTCTGTCTACACCTGCGTCACAAACGTGAGGAATGTGTTGCATTGTGATGTCCTGACAGTTATGACATCACTAATTGATGAGACATTTCAGCTCTAGTATAATCTTTTGTTTTTCCTCCCTTTTAGGGCTGGGGATAGAACCCAGGGCTGAGTGTATGACAGGCAAAGTGCTCTACCAATGAGATATGTATGCCCCAACTCTCATTATGATCTTGTTGGACCACTGTTCGATAACGTGGCCTGCTGTTGACCAAAATGTCACTATCCAGGGCATAATGGTGTAGCTACGTTTCTAAAAGGATACTTTGAATTTCGGCAGTCATATTGCTAATTACTGAGCTGTGTCTTCCATTACTCAAGTGCCTCCTGTTCCGCTATTATTCTGTTCTTGTTCAGGGATACAGTGGGTTGGGGCAGGGCATCGTTGTTGCCCACTCGCCTGTCCCAGTTGAGTATAGGAAGCTGGGTCCCGGAAGGCAGGCCTCCCACTGCAAGACATGTCTTCCATTGCAGCCCTGAGGTCTGGAATGGAAGGAGGGCCTGGGGGCTTTTCTGGAACAGCTCTTGCTCATACCTGCCACCTGCTGTAACTGTTAATAGAGGACACCAGAGCACAAGCCAGCCCCAGCCAGCCCAGTCTTCTGCTCATCCCTGGTTTGCACCCAGGGAGTCCCCTCAGTTACCCCCACTTGTGGTCTCTGCACTGCAGATGACCTCACTCCTGTCTTCTTCATCATGTGGTGTGGATACACAGCAGGGGCCACTGGGGGGTCTTGGTGACAGAGGAGGGGGTACACAGACGGCACCAACCACATGTGACCCTGGGTCAGGAGGTCCCTGAAGGCTTCCAGGGACTGGGTGGCATCTGCGACCTTATTGCACTGGACTGTGACTGGAAGCCCACGTGACAGGAAAGGCCTGGAGTCTGGCTCAGCTGCCCCTGAGCTGTCCCCAAACTGCCAGGTGGCTGTCTCCATAGTCCCTCAAGGACAGGTAAAAGTTTCCTGGGCCCAGAATGTGCTCAGCTCAGAGATGGGGCCAAGGAAGGGCTCTTTGAGGGCTTCTAAGGTGAGGAGGCCATGGATAGGTGTGAGGTGCAGAGCAGCTGGCATTGGGGGGCGGGGCAGAGTGGTGGCTTTGCCTCAGGCTCTGCTCCTCCCAGGCCTCCTAGGTGCCTCAAAGGTGCCCAGGATGTTTGGTGACCCAATAATAATAACAATGATAGTGGTAGGTTATGCAGATGAGCTGCTGGGTAAGTTCCTAGGTTCCACTGCAGGTGCCCAGGCTGGACTGTTGTCACCATGTGGCCGTGAGGAAGAGCCCGGGGCACCCTGGATGCACTGCATCCTCCTGCCACCTCCCTTCTCCACAGAGAAGCCCCACATTCCTGGTCATCCTACCTTTCCTCGTGCTGTGCCCTGTCTGGAAGGTTGCCTGCTGTCTCTGAGCCAGTTCTTAACATGCCCTCTCCCCAAAGCCTTCCTCACTCTCTCCATGGTCCTTGCCATGTGGCTTTGAGCTGGACACCTTGTGAGGCAGGGACTCCCAGAAGAGAAAGGAGCTTTGGACTGCAGCCATGCTGGGTTTCCCACATATGGGCTTAGATATGCTGACATTTGCCCAGTGCCCTGCAGTGGGTGTCCTGGGTAGGAGTGGGCAGGGAGTTTTGGGATATCTGTGTAGGAGAGAAGCACTAGGCACTGGCTGGATGCTGGAAATCCTAGTCACACTGGTGGAAAGTGTGGCTGTCCAGAATGTGGTGGGGGAGAGCTGTGGCCCCCGTTGCTAGGCAGCACACCTCCCTGGATGCCAGTTGCTATGGCAGCCGCTTCCTGCCTGTGTTGCCATGACACCCAGATGGCCTTGGGGAGCCTGAAGTGGTGAGGAGAGGCTACCCTCATCTCCTTTGGCTCATGTCCAGGGGATGTTCAGGAGGGAGAAGAGGAGAGACTGGGATTTACCACTGGTGTGGAGACTCAGCACTACCTGCCCAGCTCTGGGCCCGGATTGGGGCAGTCCTGCTGTACTCACTGTGGCCTTGATGCTCAATGTCCCCAGCTCTTTTCAGAAGCTGGGAATCCGGCCCTGTGTGCCCACTGGGGGTCTCTCTTGTTCTAGCTCTCAAAGCTGCCTTGCATGGAGTCAAGGTGTCAGTAGAACCTGGAGAAATACCTTGGGCCAAGGTCCATGGGACTCTGAAGATGTCTCAGGCCTCTCAGATGCCCCTAGACTCATAGCCAGAAGGGTGGATCCACTGGGGGCTGGGTGAGGGATGGCCTGTAGAGAGACCACCCCATCCCAGGGCCAGAAGACAGGGCTGCTGGTCCTTCACTCCCATCAAGTGGACATAGGCCGCTGAGTTCTGGGCAACTATCCCTCCCCTCCCCAGCCTTCGAGAGAGAGCAGGACAGGCTGGGGGCTGGGTCCCGGGAACAGGGTGTGGCCTAGAGTGTCCTGGCTGTACCTGTGAGGTCCTCCTAGGGATTCTCATGTCAGGCTGAGGCTCAGGGAGGGGAAGGCACAGCCCAATGGCTGCTCTCTCCCCAGCGTGGTTGTGTGGCTCCCAGGATACATGCGGTGGCAGGCCATTTGTCTCCCTCCCTGGTGACACTCTGGGCATGCGCTGCTCCCATTTTTTATTTAAGAATCAGAGAGAATAAGAATGTCAAGGAAAATCCTGTTGTGGACAACATGGCCCCAGTAAATTACCATCAGCCCAGGACTTGAAGGTTCCAAGGCCTGAGGAGGAGGTGTGCTGGGACTGCCACATCCCCTGTCCACCAGGGTTACCATGGGTGAAGTGACATGTCTACCCTGCCTGGAACCAGAGGACTCCTTCTCCTCATGATCCCATCCAGTAGGCTCAAGCCCCCATATATTTCTCTTTCTCCCTTCTTTTTTTTGTTTGCTTGCTTTCTTCCTTTCTCTCTTTTCTTCCTGCCTTCTTTCCTCTCTCTTTCTTCCCTCCCTCTCTTTCTTTTTGCAGTCAGTACTGGTAATCGAACTCAGGGCCTTTGCACTGAACTGTATCCCAAGCTCTTATTTTATTTTGAGACAAGAGTCTCGCTAAGTTGTTAAATTGCCCAGGCTAGACTTAAATTTGCAATCCCCCTGCCTCAGCCTCCAGAGTATTTGGGATTAGATACTCTACCTGGATTAACCCTGCTTTTCTATCCCTGTTTAGCTGGCTGGCAGTGCCAGAGGCTGGCATGGCAGAAGGGCTTGATGGTCAGTGCCAAATTTATCTTACTGGGTCCAGAATCGGCCTTGCCCAGTTCCTGGCAGTGATCTCTGCACCCTGATAGCAGGCCCTTGGGTTGAATAGAGGCTGCAGGGAAGGTAAGGGGCTACCTCCAGGAGTCAAGGGCTAACCTTGCATCCTTCCTACCTCCCTGTCCAAGCTGCTGAAGGTGCGGACAGGAGTGGAGTGCAGTTCTCTGAATGACCACTAGATAGAGCTGCAACCCTTCAGACCAGATACAGGTTTCTGGGACCCAGTATCCGGAGCAGGCAGGCCCCACAGAAAGAGAAGGGGAAGCTCGGAGTGAATCTACTTCAGCTGAAGCTTCTGGAAAAGAAGGGCCTGTGCTGGGGAAGAAGCCCTCTCCCCACTTAGATCTGCAGTTCCAGGGAGGGGCAGGGCAGGGGCTGGCACTGTTGGTTTGAGGGTGTCCCTCTCTCCACCTTGACACAATATCCCCGGACCAACCTTAGCATTGTCCAGGGGCCCCTTGCCTGCCATGAGCTGGTCCCGTGTTACCCCTCCTGTCAATGGGTAGCTGTGGAGGGCAGGGGTCCCAAGGCTCTGGGAACAGGCCTGGCCAGGGTCACCAAGGTCCTGACCAGTGTGTGGGAATGGTTGTGACAACGTTTGGTGCTGCTCTTTGTGAGAACCCAGAGGGTGGAGCAGAGGGAAAGCTGCGCCCAGGGCCAAGGCAAGCCTGGGTGTGCTGGACCCTCTGGGAGGTCACTGTGTGGTTGGGATGCAGGATGTAAGAGTCACCTGGAAGGCTGGGAGGGCTCGGAAGATGGGAGCCATCAAGGCAGGGTGGAGGAGGCCAGCAC